GATAGATGCGGTTTGCCACGAGGCACATGTCTGCACAATCAGCCCAAAAATTTGTGGAAACATGATAAGAGTTTGGAGAAGAAAAATGAGACGGGATGTTATTTCTTGAAGTACCATGCCAACATAACTGGAGATCCTATAATAATTACACCAACTGGTGATAAATTTCTGAAAGTCGAATATAACGGTGCGTACACAACTACAGTTGATATTGAGATCAAAGCGGATTTCAATACAATAATACGACAGCAAACTACAGCAGCCATAACCGAAGTCTACATTGATAGCACGTGCGATAAAATCACAACAATTATTGCGAAGGTTATCAATTCGGGATTGATATCATGCCAATACATGGTGCAATTAAGTGATTTTCCATTGGATATTTCTGAAAATATGACGCACATCAAAACCCCGCTCTCTTTGATTTCACCTCAAAACCAATATATTTTTACAATGCAAATACGAACTCCATTGCCAAGTGAATGGTTTCATTGTTCTGTAGAGGTGTTAAACACTAATAAAGAGTTGGTGGCTTTGCGAAGGATTAGAATCCAAAAATATGACAGATGTATATGTTCGTGGCATTGTTTGTGTGCTTGCGTTGCTTCATCGCAAGGCTTGAAGTGCATTCCAATGGCAATAGAACATTACCATGCAGCTGGTTTCCAGGGATCATTACCAATTGTAACTCATGTTGTTCATTTCACTTTATTGGATGATTTGTTATCGGTTACATTTTACTTTGCTCTATTCCTCCTTGGAACTCTTCTAGTTTTGGGTCTTTCTAAAGCACTCCTCGGCATGTGCTGCTATACCATTGGAATATGGGGATTGGCGGTTCTATTAGACTTGCCGAAACGTATGAAACATTACTACGAGAAAGATATAAACAAAGAAAATGTTATATACGATGATGAAGGTTGGCCTGTTCACCCAAATTCCAAAACCAGAGTTCGGAATATATCAGTCTCAACACAATTTTGCACCAATTTGGTTTTCTTTTTTACATATCCACTTGCATGTTGTCTGGTAATTTTTCGGAGATTATGTTGTCCCTATTATACAAGACGAAGGAAGGAACCTGAGAAGAGACTACGTATCAGTGAGGATCCAACGCACAAGAAGTACGATGATAGGAAACGGAGGTTCTTTTCCACCAGAGATGACACGACAAATACCGATACAGATACAAAAACAAAGTCCACTGATGCATCAAAAAGACAACCCCAGAAGAGTGATTCAAAAGCGGATAGTGCACCTAGAAAGAGGTTTTCGTTGACAGGAATTGTTAATAAATCGATTTCCTCGAAAGCTGAAAATGCTCCTCGCAAAAAATCGAGTTCTCCGAGAAAACAATATCCCGATTCCAGTTCTTCGTCATCTGCCAAGTCCAAAAAATCTAAATACAAGTGTATGTCACGAAAAAAAACGAAGGATAAATTGTCATCATCGTCGGATGGATCAAGTAAGAAGAAGTGCCATAAATCGCATAAGAAAACTAGATCAAAATCAGGTCCTGTTAAATATCAACAGACAACGACTACCATGTACGTTGAGGAGCACCGTCACGATTTACCGAAAATATGTAGCTGCACTCATCCGAAATTGGACGACAGGTTTAAATATATTTTATACTATTAGAATATACAAAATCAACTTTTGTTTTTTTTTTTCAGATCTGCTAAGCAAATACAACATAAAAGTAAATTTTCTCGCGTCGATAGCCATTTCGAATCCGCCGATTCAAATCGGTCTCACGATAGACATTCGTTTGGAGACACTGTGATTATAAAAAAGAAAGAAAAAATATCAAGAAAATCTCGTGGTAAATGCACGCCAAGAAAAACTGAATCTTATGTAAGTAAGCAGATATACAAAGTCAAGAGTGATACACGTATTCCAAAAGGTATTTGCGCATCTGAGTGTGCTAAAGATGAAACACATATTCCTCAACCAATGACAAGTCGACTGTTACGAAATGAAATGAGCAGTCCCACAGATTCTCTTCATAGTAGCATTATCGCACAAAGAAAATCTACTTGTTCTAATAAGCTACACGATTCTTATTCGTTTGAAGAGATTGTACCACCAGAAACAAGGGAATTATCTGAAAGCGAAGAATCAATACCTGGAAGCATTTCTAGCGAGAATAGTTCTTCGGAAGACAAAACGACTGAAAGCAGTTCTTATTGTAGTTCTGATTCCAAAAAGAAACACCATACGAAAAATAAGAAAAAATGCAATAGTTCGTGCAGGTCAAAGAGTACAGATATATCGAAGTCAAAATCCACTAGAAAGAAGAGAAGTTCAAGTTGCTCTAAAAAGAAGAAAACTCCAGAAAGAAAATGTCCTTCGCCAAAAAAGAAGACTTCTTCAATGACAATCCAACGTGGAAATATATTTAAACGTTTCTCAAAATCTCGGCGTTCGAGAGATAAGAACAAAGAATGTGAGGATACTTGCATAAAAAATGAAGATGCAATTAAAAGCAAAATTTCAAGAAATTCCATATCAAAATTTCTATCAATTAGGAAACGTTCCCAAGAACCGAAACCAAGTCAGAGTAGCTTCATTGAAACCCAGAGTAAACCTATCGCAGGAATAATGAGCATGGTCAGTATCCCTGGCAGCGAAGATGCGTCTTTCAAAGAAATACAAATTCAAAATCTGGATGATTTATCCTGTGCCGGTGTTATTTACAAAGAAGAGGAAGAAACCAAACCAAAAGGAACCTGTACAAAATCAGCTTGTCACTCAAAATCCGGAAATCGAGCAAAAGTTAAAGCAAAATCTGATAAAAAAGTTGGATACTGTTCGAAGAGTCCACGAAAGAACGAAACTCCACCCTACGAGATAGTCGTACCCTGTCCGCAAATGGGTGAATGCGGTGAAGAAACTAGACCGATATTTAGATCTTACATCGAAGAAAAGCAAATTATCAGAGTCAGCGAAAAAGATGATGCAAAATGTGCAAAGCCTAAAGGATCTTCCTGCTACACGAAATCACAATCAAATGAATGCAATTCTATGGATACGTGTCCGGCCAAGAGTCCACAAAAGGGTATTCTAAGCAAACGACATTACGCAATTGAACCAGTGCAGATATACACGTCGACCATCGAAAACAAAGACGAAGCTAAGACAAGAACAATTTGCGGTAAAAAAATGCCTAGTTCGACAGGATCCAGTGGATACTATAGGACAGCAAATTTAAATATACCAATAGCGACTACCAGTCAAGAGCGACCTGGAAGGATGTCCATATCGCCTAGAAAAACCTCAATACCAAGACCAAAATCTATGTAGTTTTTTCTGTTTGTATATATACTTTTTTATATTAAAATAAAAACAGACGCAATTAGGAAAATTGACGCGATATATTTATATATGTTGAGGTTCTTAAGTGCGTGCGATGGTTAGAAAAAAATCGTCCCCCTTCGAAAAAGTACTTCCCTTTTCAATTAAGTCGCGTCGAGTTTTGCCATCGCCGCCGGTAGCAGTAAAGAAGAGCAGAAGTAATTTTTATCACTCTTAATAATGCATTTAACTCCTCTCCTGGCTGCTCACTTAAAACTGTATTTAGACTGCTCTAAATTAGCTTATAATTTGTCAATAAAAAAGAGAACGCGGTGTCACATCTAAAGAGGCTGAGTGAGGCCACTTAAAACACTTTAAAAATAATCTCATCTAAATAGTTTCACAGCGTGTAAATAAGCGTTGCCATTAAGTTTTAAATGCTTTTAATCTCGTATTTTTTCCACCGCTGTCACTTGCGGTCTTTGAGGTTTTTATTTATTTACAGTGCTTGTATAATATCTGTTGTAAAATTGAAACACGCGTTTATGTAATTTTCGTTTACAATTCGCAATAGAATTTATATCTTAAAATCTCATGAGGCTATTTTATTGATAAAATTATTAGATCCGTTCTCAGAGTAAAAATAATATTAAAAAATTCTGTTTCCATCTTCTATCTATTTTATTTACAACACACTTACTTACAAATTCTGTACTGTTTTATCTTTAGTAATTTACTAAAAATTGATTTTTTTATGTATTATGGTATTGACTACATGAAAACTATAATGGCTAATGTAGCAATATCAGATTGTCATGTTACAATAGTTAGGATATATTTTATGGAAATCGAACAGCAAAGACTAGAATATGTATAATTCCTATATTATTTCATTAACAGTATGCAGTTTTAATTTATTTCATTATTGCACATGCGATCGTTCAAGTTACATGTATTACAGAAAAGTATTAAATTTTGTAGACTGGGAGCGTAGCGCACTCCTGTAATTCATGCGATTGGAAGGTCGGGTTTAGAGGATGGTTTGAGGTCGGGAGTCCTGGTGCAGGGTGTTTCCACGTCGACCAGGTGTCCACACTAAGCTCGGCGTCGATATGGGCACCCCGGAGGAATCTGGGGTGGCCAGGTTGGCTAAGGAGAGGCGAACCGGGCCAGGGGAGAAATCCAGCAGCCAAAAGTCTCCGCGTTGTGCAGTAGCGGGATCGCGCCCGGGAGTGGAAGCCCTGTAACAGCCTGACCAATACAATCAGACCTAATCCTTTTAACACTCGCAAACCCTTTTCCTAACCAAATTTTATCTACTTCAGTTATAATTTATACGAACAAATGCAATAACATTAGTTAAATTTTATTGCAGTTTATATATATGCAACTCTTTGTACATGCCTGCAGTTCTTATATAAGTTTTGTCTAATGTAAGTTCCAATTGGATTACAATAACATTATGTAAAATTTACTAAAGTCAATATATATGCAACTTTTTCTACATATCTAATATTATTATGTAAATTGCATGTAATTACATCCCTATGTACTTCCTTTAAGTGATAATAGTTCAATAAGTCACAAAATTATTTATTTTTCAATGTTCCGAAGCAACTATTACAAATTTACTTGAAGACTAAAGTGCCCTCTTTGGATAAGTAGCTAAACAAGTAATTGACATTTTACGTAAAATCTAAACCAAAGAATCATTGAAAATTGTAAGGTTATGTTATACAGCGGTTGTTTTAGCATTGTCATTTTGTGAGTTTTCAGTTTAGAAAGAATTAATCTTTTCGTCAAAGAGAAAAAACAATGGCTTTAATGGATCTATGTGGGATGTCCTTCCCGGAACAAATGAAGGATGGCATGTTTAATAACGAGGCAATGCAACTGGGCCAGAATTTCACCAATAACTTGGAACTCTCTGTACCCCCATTTGATAATGTAAGTTAACTGATTGTATATGTAGGTATTTTGCATTAGTTGATCTTAAATGTTACAGCCAGCAGAAGCACTTGCTGAATTCAACACAGATGAGAGTGGAAAAACAATTAAAATCAAATTCGATCATGGTACAACAACATTGGGTTTCCAGTATCAAGGAGGTGTTGTTCTGGCTGTCGATTCTAGGGCCACTGGTGGCGCCTTTATCGGTTCACAATCAATGAAGAAAATCGTGGAAATCAATGATTTTCTCTTGGGTAAATATTAAATTCTATTCAACAAATATTGTTTGTGCAACATCATTTGTATACTGGTAAACATTTTTCTCAAATGTGTGTTCCTGAACTTTGGTTTCCTTTAGGTTGAACCAAAGATGTATTTTGAGTGTAATGGTTTCAGTTTTTGAACTGCATTATAGTTATTTATATCAATTTAGGTATAAGAAGTCCTAATTACTAAAAATTGAAAATGCGATATTTCTAGAGATGTTTCAATAACACACTATTTTTTGTTATTAGGTACATTGGCTGGTGGTGCAGCTGATTGCGTCTATTGGGATAGAGTGTTAGCGAAGCAGTGTCGCATGTACGAGCTCCGCAATCGCGAAAGAATTTCAGTTGCAGCGGCATCCAAGTTGATGTCAAACATGGTATATAATTACAAGGGAATGGGTCTCTCCATGGGCATGATGCTTGCCGGTTGGGATAAGAGGGTAAATACTATCGCAACATCTGCAAGTGTGATTTATTAATAAATTGTAATAATTCAGGGACCGCAATTGTACTACGTCGATTCCGAAGGCACCAGGACTCCGGGTAAAGTGTTCAGCGTGGGATCCGGTTCAATTTACGCTTTCGGCGTTCTGGATTCTGGCTACAAGTGGGATTTGACCGATGAGGAAGCCTACGAGTTGGGCAGAAGGTCAATCTACCATGCCACTCACAGGGATGCTTATTCTGGAGGTATCGTCAGGGTTTACCACATGAAGGAAAGTGGCTGGGTTCATATCGATAACAATGACTGTACCGACATGCATTACAAGTATCAGGAGGAGAAGGATAAGCTGGCCGCGAAGGAAGCGGAGAAAATGAGTTAGATTATAAGCTGTTTCGTATTTAATTTTCTAATGAATAAATTCATAACGTATTTTCCTTAATCCTCAATTTTACAATATTTTTGTTTGTATTATGAGCAGCGAATTGTACGTGTTAATTATAAGGATTTAATGGGATCGACTGTTTTCTTTTATGCGTTAATTTGTTTCGCATCGTTTGATATGTCCCTCCTCATTGACAGTATGTCAATAAAATCTATATTTAATAATCTCGGTATGATATGACTGATATATACGTGGTGGCATGTCATGCGCTGTAAAGCATTTCGCACGACGGCGCGGTCGTTGATTTGGTGAACGTGCACAAGCTCGCTGCTCGCAGTTGTGCTCGAGAGGTGACTTTGAGATCGTTGCGATGGATCCCCGACCTTCTTTAACCAGCGAAGCCGCTTGGCTTGAATTGAAGGAGTACTTTAAATCCAATTTGGACAATCTGAAGCTGAAGGACCTCTTCGCCAAGGATCCGCAGAGATTCCAGAAATTCAGGTATATCCATTCCTTGTTCTTACATCTCAATTGGTAGCAAACTTTGAATGAACTATACTGACCGTGTCCTTTCTCGACCTTGCAACTTTCACCGAAGTAAGCATAGGTGCACGAAGGATGTGGCTATTATTAAGTTCGCTCTCTGCTATCGAATTTATCTTATCGGAATGTTGCGCGACTTTAAAATATGCCGCTTCCAACACTACAATAATAATATAAACAATATGAATTCGATATTTAAAATTTATCAAAACACGTCAATTCAATGCATAACTTTTAAATATTTACATTTATGTGAAGTTTTACAAAAAATAAATATATAACATATTAATATACAATGCGTTTAAAAAAATAAATATATGCAAAAGTGGAAGTCTAATTTCTATATATTCAATTTTTGCATTTCAAACAAAAATATGAAACAGTTACGTGATGAAATATATTAACAGTTTTGGTCTTTATTAAAAAATAAAAATTAATAATTTTTTAGCTAAATAATTTTATTATAAAATTCTGAGCTTGTAATGAAAAACAACTATTAAATATTTATATTAGCAACGTCATTGAATATATTAATAAGTCTTTCTACCCAAAAAATACACTTCCTTTAGCAAAATCAACATTTTTAATATAAATATTATTTTCATTCAAAATTCATTATTCTAGTTAAATAGTTCTATAAACTATGAAACTTTGGACAAAAAAAATCAATAATTTAATAAAGCACATTATTCAATTATTAGGAAACTATACTGGGTGAATATTTCCCGGAAGCACTCTATATCGCTGATTAAGTTATGTAATTTTATCGATGTCGCAGAACAGAAACCTTTTAACTAATAATATACATCGAGCGTAACATTACTTTTTTTTTATAAATAACCGGTTGAACTAAATAAGCGGGTTGGTAAAGTTAATTAACTTTTTTTTATTAATTTACTAGTTTATTTGTATGTTCGAAATGTTAGTTGTAATTGCATTTAGGAAATAATAAGACGACCGCGCTTCACCTGATGTCGCCTATCGAGTAATTGATGTTTGATTGCATCCGCACAACGGATTTGATTTACTGGATGGAGGAATATCACGTCAGAGAGACATATCCTAACCAATACAGATATTAATAGCATTCTGTCGAAGTACAGTCGGCATTAACAATACGTTTATATATACATTTAGGCGTTTCTCAACTAATTGATGTTTGATTATATCCGTTAAACGCATATATTTTAATATTACAAATTTATTAAAAAAAAAATAACGGGTTTTTAAAAACGGACAAACGTTTTATGGTTTGTATCATATTAGTATCATATATGTAAAAACTTGCTGCGCATATTATTAATATAGTTTATGTAATTTCAAGAGACAGTAAACATGTTTACAATTTATTTCTGACAATATATTCAATGATAATATTTTATAATTTAAAATATATTTCTTCTTAGACGTTTTCATATAACAAATACAAATTAACTAACTAATTTTGATTTATATAAACTATTTATTTTAAAGTAATTTGCACAAAAAGATAAATTGATGCAATTGTTTATTTTTGGTGGTATTACTTATTTGAAATGATGAAATTTAGTATCTAGATTGATAAAAGATTGCTTGATATAAGTTACGTGAAATAGGTTAAAGGTAAGTATTATTGAGCTGGAGATTCGATTACGGTGGATGATGAAATAATTGATGAAGTCCACTTGCACAGATTGAAAGATTTTATTTTTAATTTAATTTAATTTTTATTATTCCCATTTTGTGCCAAATTGGGTATCGATTCAGCTCAATCTGAACAAATATTTCAATTTTATATTGATAGAGATTTTTTACTTAAGGAAGTCAAAAAATATAACTATATATTATTAATATTGGTTTGGTCTTACTCCAGTAAATTATATCCGTACTGCAGATGTAATCAAACATCAATTTATCGATAGACACCATAAGAAGAAGCAGTCGTCTTATTATTTTCTAAATGAATTTGATGAGAATTTGCATATGACGAATAAAATAAGAACGGTTTTTGCATTAAATGTAAAGTTGTATTTGAAATGTAATGTGTATGTATATTGATGTTGTATCTAAACCGTCTATATACGTTTTCTATATATACTTTCTAGCCCGTGGCGAAGTGAATGTGGTTTCAATCGGCGCATTCAAAACATTGATCCAATTTAAAGTTTCCATTTCGAGGCACAATTTTATTTCTTTTTAATAGATACATTGTGGTTCGATGATATACCTTTTCGTGAGAACTATATAAATATGCAAGGGCGGAACTTTAATCTTTTTGCAGCTGTAATTAGTTGCAGTAGTTTCCGTCTATTAAGAAATTGTATTTATTATTATTTTTTATTTAAAGCATGTTGATAAATTATTCCTTTGATCTACTTCTTTGCGAGAGCGTCGCTGTATAAATAAGGAAGGGAAGAACTTCAATTGTTTCGCTGTTGTAGTAAGTTGTTGCGTTCCCTCGTCTATTAGGAAATTGAATTTCCTCCAAGCACGAAAACTTATAATTATGAAACTTTTGTTCGTTAAATATTAATTAATTGAAGGTATTCGTTAGCGAGTCGTTTCTAAAATTGGAGCGTACGTATATTTTAGTAGCGAGTAAATATTGTACGGTCTCACAAATAAATGGTCTTCTAACGATCCCCGCATTATTTATTATTGCGCTCAATTCTTTTTCTAAAAATAAACTTATTGAATTTTGAGGTAGACCGTCGTCGCATCTTGCTTGGGGAAACCGAAGCTGCGTTAAATAAATTTGATTGTATCAAAAACGCGAGTCGAATAAATCGAATTGAAATTATATTGGAAAAATTTAATTTGCATCTTGCAATTTCATTTCGTCATCTCCTCGGAAGAGGAGGAACATGATGCATGCACATTATTTTGCGCACATATGTAGCACAAAATCAATAGAATTTCATCTGGCAGAGGAGGAAAGGTGACGCTGAGGATATAGATTATATCCGTCAGCGGTATGCTTAACCCAAATATCTAGACCATTTTGTTTCATTCATATCAATATGTGTAATTGTTTTTGTTGTTGTTCTTGTTGTAGCATCAAAATTGATACACCGAATGACGGTGATATCCTCGTTGACTATTCGAAGAATTGGGCGGACGATGAGCTCATGGCGAAGCTATTCAGGTTGGCGAAGGAACGCAAACTGGAATCTGCCCGATCTGCGATGTTTGCAGGTGAAAAGATTAATTTCACCGAGGACAGGGCTGTCCTCCACGTCGCACTCAGGAATCGCTCAGGAAAGCCGGTCATCGTGAACGGAAAAAACGTAATGCCCGACGTTGATGCAGTTTTAACTCACATGAAGGAGTTTACTAACTCGATTTTAAGCGGCCACTGGAAAGGGTAACTAATTCATCCGATGGCATCCGAAACTCTAAAACCATTTGCATTTATCGATTAGGTTCTCTGGTAAGCAAATTACGGATGTTGTCAATATTGGCATTGGCGGCTCCGATTTGGGTCCGTTGATGGTCACCGAGGCTTTGAAATCCTATAACAAAGGCCTAAAGATGCATTTTGTTTCCAACATCGATGGAACTCATTTGGCCGAAGTGCTGATGAAAGTTGATCCATCTAGTGTGCTCTTTATCATCGCCTCGAAAACGTTTACCACTCAAGAGACAATAACTAACGCAACTTCGGCTAAAAAGTGGTTCTTGGAGTATGCTAAAAATGTAATATATCTAAAACTATATTGATTTCTTTTTAAATTAAATTAAATTAAATTTGTTTGCAGCCTGCCGCAGTGGCCAAGCACTTCGTGGCTCTCAGCACGAACGAAGTCAAAGTGAAAGAGTTTGGAATCGATCCGGCCAATATGTTTGGTTTCTGGGATTGGGTCGGTGGAAGGTATTCCCTGTGGTCGGCCATCGGATTGAGCATTTGTCTCTCGTTGGGCTACGACAACTTCCAGCAACTGTTGGAAGGCGCGCATTTCATGGATAACCATTTCCAGACTGCTCCATTGGAGAAGAACGTACGTTATTCATTTCCTATGTAATTAGCTTATTAGCTCATCATCAACTTTTCAGATCCCGGTAATATTAGCTCTCTTAGGTGTTTGGTACAGCAATATGTGCGGGGCAGAAACGCATGCCTTGTTACCATACGACCAATACATGCACCGATTCGCCGCGTATTTCCAACAAGGAGACATGGAAAGTAACGGAAAATATGTTACGAGAAGCGGACAGGTGGTGGACTATTCGACTGGACCGATTGTGTGGGGTGAACCTGGTACTAACGGCCAACATGCCTTCTATCAGTTGATTCATCAAGGAACCCGTCTGATTCCTGCTGACTTTATTGCTACTGTGCAATCTCACAACCCCATTAACGGCGGCATCCACCACAACATTTTGCTTGCCAATTTCTTGGCCCAGACCGAAGCTTTGATGATGGGTAAAACCGAAGAGGTCGCTAAACTTGAACTTGAGAAAAGTGGCATGGATGCAGACTCTATTAAGAAGATATTACCGCACAAAGTATTCAAGGGGAACAAGCCTACTAACAGCATAGTTGTAAAGAAAATGACGCCGTTCGTTCTGGGTGCTTTGATCGGTAAGTAACACGCATCTTGCCATTTGCAAATTATCTAATTTCCTTTTTTTTTTAATCTCATTTTAGCAATGTACGAGCACAAGATTTTCACTCAGGGTATCATTTGGGATATCAATTCGTACGATCAATGGGGTGTGGAATTGGGTAAACAATTGGCGAAAGTCATCGAGCCGGAACTGAATGATAACAAACCGGTCTCCACTCATGATTCCTCAACTAATGGACTCATCAATTTCATTAAAGCAAACCGCTAAATAGTTGTTGCTTATCAAATAGCTGTAGCATTTACTTGATGTGATGTCCGCAGGTGCGGATTTGATGGAATTAGTGCCACCCAATTTACCTATATTTTTTACATACCCTTTATTATTTTTATATAGTATATCTAATTTATTCTCTTAATATAAAGAAAAAACAAACTTATTATAGACATTTTTATCCAGTCCACAAATTATATGTAAAATGTATTTTAGATATGTGTTATATTTAAATAAATATATATATATATATGTACAATACCCTTACACTTTATGTTTACTATACCTTTCCAATAATCAAACATTATATAAATAAATACTAATGAAAATATAATTAATAATTTTACAAAAAATTCCTGAAAATGTAACAAAACAAATATTGATGGATATTTGTATAATGGATCCATGTTATATAGAAAAAGTATGTATGGTTGCATATATTATGCAACGGATTCGCGTTATTTGTGCATATTTGTACAACACTTCTGGTAAAATTCAATATATCTTAATAGCCATAAACTTTACATATTTAGATTGCAAGTTTTTGGATAAGTAATCCAATGTAATATTGAATATCATTTACATTCAAATGTATTCCATTAATATTTACTATGCAAAGTAATTACAATAAGTGAATCTGTTTTCAATACATTCATCATAAATTAATGGTTGTTGTTAGCGAATAAAAGAATGTTCTAGGTGTGCAAAAATATTTCTTTGGAAATTTACCCTAAGATAAAACTTATTTTTAATCTTATCTATTACCGCACAAAAAAAATCCACTTGCAGCAAACACCGGTAATCTAAAAAGTTTACAATTAAACCAGCAAACATTTACGTATTAGAGTGACACCTTTCACTGCATTATTGTTTATACTTGCCGCGCGCTAATACTAAATGTACTAGGATCTCCTTGAAACTGATAACTTCTATATTTATATGTTTACTAAATGTTAAAATCCATTTGCTGTTCGACCGGCGTACAGTGTGCGTTTTTGATTCGATACCGGTGGTTCTGATCGAAACTATTCGTCTTATCAATTATTCGTCGGAAGGAAGTTCTTACTAATTAATGTAAGTATGGATTCCTTCTTAGAAATGGGTCGAACAAATGACCCATATTCTAACGGTGTGAACGACCCAAAGGCGAAATAATTAAAAGAACGACTCCAGCTACTGCCACTCCGATAATCCAATAGTATAAACGGAAAGGTCAATTCAATTTGCTAACCCTGATTTGATAATGGTACAATCCACTGTTGTATGCATTTCGCGAACGCTTTTCGCACACTGCAAAGCTATGATGAGCGATGTTATGTAATCTATTTTTGAATAATTTGGTCATGCACGTTCGTTCCTTTATATTTCGCCTTCTCCCGTTTCATCGCGCTATTTTATATAAATATAATTAAATGAAATATCATTGCTAATAAAAAATAAATGGCATTGCTTTTTGAGACTATGAAGGTAATAACTGTTGATGGGTTTATATTAATTTATTATTACAATATTCTACAGCTAAATTCTAAATGTCATTACTTGCATGTTTACACATTAGGTTAGTTACTTATCAGTTCAAGGCGAAAGCAATTAATGTTACTGTTCAGACATAGAAAATAAAATAATTTTACTATTATGATACTAAATTTTACAAATTTCAGTTATAACTTTCACATCTTTTTTTTGGAATACACTCTAGGGACGTATTTCTTTTTAATAATTTTCCTGTTGCGTAACAAAAATAGTTTAAATCCAGATCCAGATCCAGATTCGTCGCTCGCTCATACATTAATTGAAGTATTTTACAATAATATTTATGGGAATTAACTCTATTACATAAAACAAACTTTAAATGAATTAAAGTCTTTTCTTGACTAATAAATAATAAAATCATAGCTTATCATGTTATTTATATATACGTAACAAAATTTCTTAATACTTATTATTTGTTTAATTTTTATCTTTCATTTGACTTTGTACTCTTTTTAATTAATGATTTTTGTCCACGATTTAATTATTTTATAATTTTTTCTTTGATATGATGTTATTTACATTTAGTTGTCATTAGTGATAAATATTGTTCTACCGAAAACACAAAAGAGGCAAAGAAGTCGTCAAAGAAGACAATTGTCTATAAAATATAAATTGCTATTATAATATATGAATGAACGCATGGAATCAATTTGAAACTATGAATAATAATTGAGATCAAGTTATTGGACTTATTTTTGGTACTAAAACGATTTTATTAGGATTAATAATTAATATATTGCGTAGGAAGTATTGCATTCGTTTTTGAAGTGGAATACATTAAAAATGAGTCAATAAACTGCCGTGTATATTTTATGTGTTAAAGGAAGTAGGAATTGTTAGAAATGTAAGGGGAAGTAAAATTGAATAATTCTGTAGCGACCTTAATAAGATTATCTTTTAAATATGCATGTGGAAGTTCGAGTGAAGCCAAGTTAGCGAAGAATAACGCAACGTTGTCGCACGAGTTGCATATATTGGTGTTCCCTGATGTGAAAATATTACCATTTGCTACCAAAGTTTATTTACCATGCAGTAAAATTATTGCAAATATACTATGGTTAATAACAATTGAAGGTCAATTGAACTAAAAAAAAATGTTAAATTAAATTAATGTTTATAGTTTCAATGTTATTTACTGAGTACACAATTTTATAAACTGAATTATTTAGATGATAAAATCAATTGTAGTAAATACAATTTTAAATGTAATGGATGTACAAAGGACATATTCTCGTTGAATATGGAGAGGAAACCCATGAAGTTCAATAATTAATGTGTGTAACGGTAAAACTTGTTGCAGAAAATGGTAAATGAACGGGGCAAGTTCCAATTCGCAATTGATAGAGGAGGTACATTCACGGACGTTTTTGCTCGATGTCCAGATGGGAGAATCAGAGTCCTCAAACTGCTCTCAGAAGATCCGCAGCACTACGAGGATGCGCCGACCGAGGGAATCCGTAGGATCCTCAAAGAGGTAAATTTTAATTATGAACGTAACAGTTGGCTGAATTTAACTCTGACAGTTAAAAGTCAAAAATATTATACTGATTTGTTGTACATCGTACCCTTTTACTATTATTATACAATGCGGATCAAGTTTAATACGATCACCGGTGCTGGTCTCATCCAGGAGCAAATGTTCATGAAGAAGATAGAATTGTCGCAGATTAAGAAGCAGATCAACGAGTTTGCTACGTTCCTTCCAAACACAATTCTCACAATGCAAAAGAACGAACTAAATCTGATCCATCATTTCGTTGGAGTTCTGCTGCAGGGCGAAATTAGCGGCATAGCAAATGTCACCGATAAATACAATAAAGCGGGAGTTGGTGGAATTTACAGGCTGACTGCAACTCTGAACGCCTACATCGGATCAATGATTGAAATATTGCAATCATACGGAGGCGATATTCTGAAATATACCGGTCAGAATTTCGTCGCATCATGGAAAGTTTTATCCGACGATTGTCTCTTTGAGATACTCCACGAAGCCGTCGTCTGCGCTTTGGTCATAACGCAGACTTTAAGTAACTTTGATACCGAAGTAAATGCAAATCTTGCCGTGAAGCTGGCCATATCCTGTGGGAATTTATCGTTCTCCATAATAGGCGAGGGCAACCTCAAAGAATTCATTATCGTCGGAGACGCTATAACTCAGGCAACTTCTGCAAGAAAAATTTGGAACGCCGGCAAAGTTGTGATCGCCCCTGGGGCGTGGTCACACATGTTACAAGACCGATATGAAGTTACCCAAAGTGGAGACGGTTTCGTCAAGGTGACGTTAAATCATCAGGAACTTACATCCCTTACACAATCTTGAATGTAATTCCTTTTAGGTTTCGAATGTCTGCTACAAACCCAATGAAGAAGATAAGAAGGTGTACTACGACACGAAGCAAATTGAAGTCGCTAAATTGATAGAGAAACATTTTCGCCACAGAGGCGAACTGAATACCAAGAAGAGTTTCCAGTCAAATATCACGGACAGTCAGAAAACTGAGCGATTTACGCGATCTTTGCCCCATCGTGAGGAGATCATGTTTGCATTAAAGTATTGGATAGTAGACGAATTGCGTCCTTTCATTATTAGAAATGTACAGGGACAGGTGGACGAAGGGCAACCGGTTCAGTATCTGACGGAAACGAGGGATCTGACTATACTGTTTATCAGCGTGGAATTCAATCCGCTTACGGATCAAACTTACGTGGACGAGGTGGACGAGGTTTATAGGGAAATTAGTACGGTCTCGCTCGATGTGTTAGGATTGACACATAAAGTTTACTTCATAGAAAAAAGAATAACATTCTTAGTTTTGTTTGGTTTGCGCGGCGTTAAGCATGAGACAGAGAGTCAGAATGCTATCCGTTCCGCATACAGAATAAGATGTTCCTTACTGGATAAAAGTTCTATCAGACAAGTCGCTTGTAGCGTCACCAATGGTATCGTTTATTGCGGTGTCGTCGGTCACCCTTTAAGGAGAGAGTTCACGGTTATTGGAGAAGCAGTTAACAAAGCTTATAATTTAGTCGAGGAATATCCGGAGACGGTGACGTGTGACTTTAAAACATTCAAATCATCGAAACTTTCATCATTCTACTTTGAGTTGAAATCATCAAATTCGAAGTCGTTGTATTACGGTGTGTTCGAATACAATGAAACCTTCGAAAGGGATGAACACGAAAACGATTTGCCGCCTATAATTGGACGAAAACATGAAATAAATTTTGCACGAACAACCATCACCGATCCAGAAAGAGTTTCACACTATTATGGCGTTTGCTATCATGGTCCTCATAAAATAGGAAAGACCGCACTCTTGCTACATCTTATTAGAATGTTTGAAAATGTAAGTGGCTATGCGGTAGGTTCATTGGAATTGGAAATTACATCTAACAATGCATACTTCACTGTGCGCAGTTTATATAAACAGGTATACGATATTATAACTCAAATTGGTTTTGCAAACTTAAATCATATGTCAAGTTTGCCCATGGACTTAATGGAGAACTACGAAGAAATGCATGGTTTAGAGATCGACTTGGCAATGTTGAAATACATGTTATTGAATCGATTTCGTAATTTGATCGATATTTGCCCTACAGTCACGATCGTGTTATTTATTGATAATATAGAACACATTGATTTACAGAGTTGGGAAATATTGGAAATTGTTATAAACGAACAAAAGATCAGGGTTATATCTTCCGGATGTTTCGAGGATGAGAGCACCTGGGATCTGCACTTTAAAATATCTATGGACGACAATATTAAATTAGTGGATCTACTTCCTCTTGTAAACAAGTATATTCCTGCTTTAGCATGTCAATTTCTAGACGTAAGTGCGATCAGTCATGGTTTGGCCAAATTATTGATAAAATCTTGTAAAGGACATCCCGGATTTGTCGAAACGTGCTTGCTGCGTCTTTTAAATAACTCTAGCATCAAAGTGATCTTATTAGCTGTTAACAGTGACTCATTGAATATGTATTATGTTTCGCCACGAAGATATTTGCGAGATAATCATATTTCTGAAATACTTCAGGCAGCAGATTTTTCTGATAATTTCAAAGGAACTAAAAAATCTGAACTTACATTAGCTGCAATATCGTTAGACTTGTTCGATTCGTATACGCCATATCAACAGATGGTTATTAAGACTAGCGCCGTTTTGGGTCATTTATTTACAAGAAATCTGTTGATGGTTGCATTGAAATATCCGTCAGAATCAAATTTGGCTCCGGTTATTAAAGTTCTTTTCGAGGAAGACATTCTGGACTGTGGCTCTAGATATGCGTACGGCTATAAAATGGAGCAGAGCAAGTATTGTTGCAGGTGTTATTTTGAGGACAATCCCTTCGATATAAATCCCACCTTACCCAGATATGCGTTCTGCAAGATCATGCATTTCAGGAATAAAAGTATCAAAGAGGTCGCGTATAATTTATTGCCAGGAAATCAACGCATCGAATTGCATTTACTGTGCACGGATATATTGGAATACACACCTCATCAATGTCCAAGATGTATGCGAGATGCAACAAACACTTTCATAAATTTTTACAAATACAAGGACATAACCGAATACTGCAGAAATCCTAATATGTTTACCATGAAGGGTATAATAAATGATGACTCCGATGATATGAAGGAAATTATCAAGAGACACATATTGCAAGTCGATAATGGAATAGTGAGTACTAATAACGTAGATTTCATAAACATGACGAAATCTCGTCCACGACTTGATATGGTATTTTGCAAGTGCTTCCAAATCATGACGCTCGTTTATAAAGAGCTGATTTATCACAGCACTTGCGCCGGTCACTTTGGTAAAAAAATATTTTTTAGTATGCAATACGGTTTATTGCTGACAATGAAATATGATTACACCAATGCTATTAGAGTTTTAACCGAAGCAAAGGAGTATTGCATGATGGACGCAGGATTGCCCAAAGCTCAGATTTCGGAAAGCTTTAGGAAATTGCATGTCGGAAAAATTGAAATGGGTTTAGCAAAGTCCTGCATTGAGCTGAGAAAAATAACGGCAGCGAAAAACCATCTGGCCATAGCGTTAAGACAGTACAACATACCATCAATGTCCCTGTACTATAAAGTTTACAGTAAACTCTTGACGAGATCGTTCCTGGTGAACTCGAAGAATATGAAACCAAATATTTATAAGAATGTAATGGCTCGTTACGATATGGGCACATGCTTATCTTATTGTGCGAAGCTCTTCATGTTGGAAGGAAAATGGAATTTTGCGAAACTATGTTCCATATATAGTATTTACTTGCTCAGAAAAGTCAACTTGAATGTACCGATATTATTTGATGTTTACAGTTCCGCATTAGAGCTGTACATATACAGCAATGACATGCATACATGTGAGAAACTCCAGAGATATGTGATCAGAGATCTGCAGGTTAATTATGCGAATAACATAACGGACTATTTTTACGCAATAAGCGTCCTGCTGAATAATGTGTTCTACATAAGTTGTATATCGGGAAATATTATAAAAGCCCTCAGATTAGGTTACAGGGCATACGACATTCACTTAAAGATTTATGGAGATTACGGCCATTTGAAGATATTATCGTGGCTAATGATCATGTTGATATACAATTACAGAGTAAGGGATTGCATCGATATATCCAGGATTATCATTCAATCATCTAATAAGGACTACACAAACAGAATAGAGTATTATTCGTTGGCGCTGAGATTCTACATGCGCACTGGCTTCTATATTGAACCAGTAGAAAATATAGTGTCGTTCGCAGAGCAGTATATGGAAAATGTCGAGGGGGACAATTACACTTGGTCGGAATTGAACTTTTTCGCCCTCCTTCATCTCTACTTTATGCGAACAAATAAAGTTCAAAAGGCAGAAGAATTTAATATACTGTGCGATTTTAATTCCAGCAACCTGTGTCAGGATACCGTCGCGAGGACGCTTTTTATCGTCATCGAGAGTAAATTCTATCATTTTCTTAGGAGTCGCAGGTCGCAAAGCACTTTCTTGGTAGAGGAAGAGAAGGAATTGAAGCGATATTTGAACATGCTCAAGCAGAATATAAAAGTATTTAAATTATTCCAGCCCACGTATTACTGCCTCATGGCTTGGTACAAGAAATTAACGAACAAAAATGGACAAGCGGATAAGTTACTGACCAGAGCGTTGAAAATCGCCGAATCACAGAATAATGTTCTATATCAATGTTACGTTACGCACCAGAGGAACTGTTGGTCAGGAAATTTCTCTAGCGATTGTCAGTCGACTGCAAGATCTGCCGATTTCTGCAATGCAGCTACTTTTACGATGAAACAGCTATCGCAGTTTATGACACCGTATCCCTTAGAATAAGTTGTATATTTTTATTGCTTTAAATAATTTAAGAAAATCAAGTTTGTTCTTGTCACATTGATTATTATACATCAGTTTTTACAAGTTTATATTGCCAGAAGATACCTTCAAGATGAGGATCCGATTCAATTCGGTAACTGGTAACCTGCTGGTGCAGGAGCACATGTTTATGAAGAAGATTGAATTGTCTCTGATAAAAAAGCAAATCGAAGTTTTGGCCACTTTCATGCCGGATGAAATTCTTCAGTTAAACGATAATGAACTATCCACGGTTTACAATTTCGTAGGTGTTTTACTTTTCGCCGACGTCTCCGGATTCACACCTTTAACTGAGAAGTATAATAAAACGGGAAAAGGCGGTATCTACAGATTGACCGCCACCTTGAATGCGTACATCGGAGCCATCGTCGAAGTGCTTTACTTTTACGGTGGCGACGTTCTGAAGTTTTCGGGTGATGCGTTCCTAGCTTTATGGAAGGTTATGCCGGATGACTCATTGTTTGAAATTTTGCACGAAGTTGTCGTCTGTGCTTTAGTCATTCAACACACCTTGGGTAAATTTGAAACCGAAGTGAATGTAAATCTCAAAGTGAAGCTGGCTGTTTCATGTGGCAACATGACCTTCTCAGTGATTGGCGACAATTTTAATAAACATTACATAATCGTGGGCGATGCGATAAACGATGTTAAAGAAGCGGAAAGATGCAGTGTATCTGGAGACGTTATGATATCGCCGGGCGCATGGTCGCACATGCTGCAGGAACGCTACGAAGTTACTTATGGTGATAACGGCAACGTCAAGGTCAATCGAGCTGTTAATTAGAACCGTTTAGTATTAATAATGAAAGACGTATTGCAGGTGTGGAATGTTTTTTATAAGCCAAATGAGGAATCGAAGAAGGAGCATTACGACGAGAAGCAAATTGAAGTGTTGAAGCTTATCGAAATGCATATTAATCACCGAAATCGGTTGCACGCCAAACACACATTCGATTCTAATTTAACTGATAGCAAAGTTACAGAACAATTTATCCGGTCTTTGCCACAGAGAAAGCAAGTCAAACTCGCTCCAAAGCACTGGATCGTGGATGAACTGAGGCCGTTTATCATAAAGAACGTTCAGAGCCAAGTGGACGAAAGTCAGCCAGTTAATTATTTAACTGAAATGAGAGAAATCACTATACTCTTTATCAATATAGTTCCAGACTCAAGCAACGAATTGCTATTAGTAAACATGGTGAACAATGCTTATCAGATAATTTGTAAAATAGTGGGAGAAGTGCTGGGAGTCGTGAATAAAGTTTCTCTCTTCGACAAGGACGTGATGATCTTGGTGCTGTTCGGTTTGCGTGGCGTCAAACATGAAATGGAAAGTCAACAGGCTTTGCGGTCAGCCTACAGGATACGAACAGCAATTACGAATCTTGAAGGAGTTAAAAGAGTGTCTGCCGGCGTTACGAACGGTTTCGTATATTGCGGGGTCGTCGGTCATCCGATGAGAAGGGAATACACTGTTATCGGAGGTGCTGTGAACAAAGCCGCTCGTATTATGTGCGCTTACGAGGGAAAGGTAACCTGCGACTATCGCACCTTCAAACATTCAAAACTATCCTCGTTCTATTTCCAACTGCAAACTCAGCTCAAGCTGAAGGGTATCGAAGAGGTTGGAAATATATTTGAATATAATGAAAAATTTGATAAATCTCTTTCCATAGCAAAGGCCGCTCTTCCCGTTGTCGGAAGAGATAATGTATTTAATTTTATCAGAGCAATGATCTATGAACCCAACACGGTTTCTAATTTCTACGGACTTTGCATGTACGGTACATCTAAAATTGGGAAAACTGCAGTCCTCCGATCTGCACTAAATATGTACAGGAATAATGATAACTTTCATATGGCTTCGGTGGAATTGGAGGGCAGTTCGAAAATCGCTTATTTCTGCATATCAAGTATATACAGACAATTGTACGATCATAAAGCTCGTATTTCTTCGGAAGATTTTAGCTGCTTGTTGAATATACCGAGAGAAATAGACATCGACGAAGAAATTGTGCATGGTGACGAAGACATAGCGCTGCGGAAGTATAGAATTTTGAATTACTTCCGGGATTTGACCGAATTCAGCAATGTAATTGCTACGTTGATTTTCATCGATAATATTGAGGAAATTGACTTGCAGAGTTGGGAAATACTGGAAATCGTAATCGGCGAAGGGAATATCAGGCTTATAGCGTGCGGAGATATGGAGGAACAAAGCCATTGGGATCTGCATTTCAAGCTGTCGTTAAACAATCATATTAAATTGCTGGAAATGCCACCGATCGATGATTACTACATTCCGGCCATAGCGTGCCAGTTTTTGGAAGCCACCGGATTGCCGAATACCTTAGTCTATCTTCTAATCAATACGTGCGAGGGGAGACCCGGCTACGTCCAGAGTTGTCTCTTGCGGCTGGTGAACAACGGTAGCATCGAAATGAAATTAATAAGTAAAAATGAGAACGTTGCGAATTTCACGTTTCCCCCAGCCGAGTACACCGGCAAATGTGCATCCGATATTATCACAATAATAAATTTTGCCGAAAAGTATAAGAGTAGAAACGATGAGTTAACTTTAGCTGCGATATCTTTGGACCTTTTCGATTCATTCACTCCGTATCAGCAGCTCGTAATCAAAACTGGTGCGGTGCTTGGGGACTTGTTTACTCGTACACTTCTGCTCGTTGCATTGAAATACCCATCGGAATTGATATTGGCAAAGGTTATTGGACAATTATTCGAAGAGGAAGTCTTCGACTGTGGTTCACGATATATTTATGCGACGGACATCGAGACGGACAGACTTTGTTGCAGATGCTATTTCGAAAAAAGCTACTTCACCTTGGACGAGAGATCATCGATGCCGAAGTATGCGTTTTGCAAGATTTTGCATTTCAAAAATAAAAGTATACGGGATGTTGCTTACGATTTGCTACCTGGAAATCAGCGAAAAGAATTGCACTTGTTGTGCACAGACGTGTTGGAAAGTATGAATAACGTTTGTCCTGCGTGCATGAAGGAACCTACAAACGTTTTTCTTCATTTTTCCAAATTTAAGGACATCATGTTATATTGTAACGACCCATCGGTTCTATATGAATACAAGACAAAATCTTACGATTACGAAGACATGAAGGACGTGATAAGGCGAATAATCCTGCAGGATGACCCTAACGATAATGACTATATTAATCCGAAAACGCGACCTAAGTATGATCTGAAAGTATGCAATTGTTACGAAATTATCCTGAGAAATTACCAGCAGCTAATTAATCATAGCGTCAGGGCTGGCCATCTCGGTAAACGTATATTCTTCTGCATGCAATACGGATGGTTGTTGATCAGCAAAGCTGACTATAGTACAGCGACGGTCGTATTGACCGAAGCCAGAGAGCTTTGCATGATAGATGCTAAATTATCGAATTCCCAGATATCGGAAGGATTTCGTAAAATGCATGTTGGCAAAATTGAATTGGGTTTGGCCAAAGCGAGCATAGATCTGAGACAACTGATTGCAGCAAGGAGTCACCTCTCGATCGCCTTACGGCAATACAATCTGCCCTCTATTGCTTTGTCGCATAAAATTTACAATAAACTGCTGACCAGAAAGTTTCTAGTTGGTCTGAAACGACTGAAAGTTGTCTTATATAAGAACACAATAACAAGAAGAGATATGGGCATTTGCTTGGGATACTGCGGCAAACTTTTCTCTTTGGAAGGAAACTTTAAGTTGGCTAAGCTCACTTGCGCTTATAGTATTTACCTCTTGACCAGCGTCAACATTCATGTACCCATATTGGTGGAAGTTTTTTGCGATGTTATCGACATCTACCGCCACCAAAATGACATGCATACCTGCGAAAAATTGCAGAAGTACGTGCTCAAAGAGCTTCAAATCAATTTCGCCCACAATGTCACCTATAATTTAGGATCGCTTTTGCAGCTTCTGTCCACCACATTCGAAGTACGATGCGTCGGTAGCGATATCAGCGCTTCGATTCGAATGGGTTTTCGTGTTATCGATATGATCGAAAAATTATTCAACACGGATAATATTTACAAAGAGATTTCGTGGCTCATGTATCTCCTAATGCTGAATTTTAGGCTGAAGGAGTGCGGTGATATATCACGACTTCTCATTAAAACGAAGCATAAACTGAGCAACCTCACGTACTACACTAACTGTCTGATCTTCCAGTTATCTACGGGATTCTATATAGAGCCAATTACGAACATCACAAAGTATGCTGAAAAATATTTCTCATCGGTGTCCAAAATGAACTGGAACGAACATTACTTCTTGGCCGCACTTCATCTGCACTATTTGAGATTAGGTAAAATGCAAATGGCAGAGGAATGGAAACAGAAATGCACATTTAATTCTAACAACGTTAAAAGAGATTTGGTGCTTCGGACTCTTATGCTTACCATTGAATGCAAAATACTAACACTTCTTCGTAGCAGGCGATTGCAGAATCCTTACTTGATCAGAGAAGAGAAAATAATAGATGATATGATGAAGTTATTTGCGGAACAGGTCAAACGTCAGTACAAAATATATTACCCTAAATATCTGATACTGAAAGCTTGGCTTCAACAGCTTAAGAGGCATCAAATATTGTCCAAAAGGACTCTGAAGAGGACGATTTTTATGTGCGAAAAGCATGATAATATTTTGCAGCTGTGTCACGCCATTCAATTGAAAAACATCTGGGGCGGTGCTATTGGTTTCAATTATTCTGAAAAATCTCAAAATCATTACCAGATAGCAGATTCTTACACAATGAAAGAATTTTCTCAGCTTTTGTATCCGTTTCCCATAGATTGATATATTTAATAAAATATGCGTTTTTGTATAGTGATTTCTTTATTTATTTATGTTTAACATTCTAACAATTAAAGGAATCACCGCAAGCAATCAACGAAGACGATAAAATAGATGAATCGTACATAGAGTCCATTCGGATGGGAACGACTGTTGCCACCAACGCATTGCTCGAGAGGAAAGGCGAACGGATGGTATTCGTGACAAATAAAGGTTTCAAAGATATTTTATTAATTGGAAATCAAGCAAGACCAAATATCTTCGATTTGGTAATTAAAAGCATAGGTAATTTGAACTACTAATTTCTTAATATTATATGTACGTTTTAGAATATCAGAAGACCTGAACTTTTGTACGAGGAAGTCGTTGAAGTTGATTGTAGGGTCATTCCAGCTCTAGAAAATGTATGTGAATTGGGTGCTTTGTCGAAAAAATGGCGCATCGCCATTGGTCAGACCGGTCAAACATTCTACGTAACCCAAGAATTAGATTTGAACAAAGTAGCGTTTGAACTATTGAAAATTAGGCAAACTGGCATTGATAGTATAGCGATTGCTTTAGCTCATAGTTATTCCTTCGCCGAGCACGAACTTGCCATTGGTGATATAGCTCACTCAATAGGCTTCAGCCAAGTCTCCCTTTCGCATGTAGTGATGCCGATGATGCGTCTAGTTCCACGTGCGTTCACCGCCTGCTCTGATGCCTATTTGACGCCTCACGTTAAACGATATTTGGAAGGATTTGCAAAAGGCTTTGATAATTCTTTACTCAATACCCGCGTCTTATTTATGAAGAGCGATGGTGGTTTAACTGCAATGAGTGAATTTAATGGATCGAAAGCTGTTCTCTCTGGTCCAGCCGGTGGTGTTGTCGGGTATACTTTCAATACAATATATTTACATAATTTATTATAATTATTATTATATTACCTTACCTCAGATATGCAAAGACTACCTGGAAGAAAGAAACGAATCTTCCAGTGATCGGTTTCGACATGGGTGGAACATCAACTGATGTTTCGCGGTATGCTGGCAACTACGAACATGTATATGAAAGTACCACCGCTGGAATTACGATCCAAGCACCACAGTTGGATGTAAATACAGTTGCCGCAGGCGGAGGATCTATGCTTTTCTATAGGTTCTGCTCTATTACATCCTTGCTATTTTGCATACTAAATTGAAATCTTTAAAACAGGTCTGGATTGTTCGTTGTTGGACCGGAATCTGCTGGAGCTAATCCCGGTCCTGCTTGCTATCAGAAAGGCGGTCCATTAACTGTTACTGATGCCAACTTAGCGTTGGGTCGTTTATTGCCCGAGTATTTTCCAAAAATATTCGGACCCAAAGAAAATGAATCTCTAGATAAGGATATTACATTATCTAAATTTGGAGATATGGTGTTCGACATGGAAGTACCGGTTAGTATACATATTCATAGTCATAATTTTGAAATACAACATGATAATTATTTTATGAATTTCTTAGAGAAAGGTGGAAGAGATTGCAATGGGATTCATTCGAGTTGCTAATGAAGCAATGTGTAGACCGATTCGAGCTTTGACTCAAGCCAGAGGTTATGATACAGCAGGACATGCATTGGCTTGTTTTGGTGGTGCAGGAGGACAGCATGCTTGCGCGATTGCAAGATCCCTGGGAATGTCGACAGTTTTCATTCATAAATATGCAGGTAAGTTTGCACTTGTTTCTTTCTGTTTCAAAATTATATAATTTTAATTTTTAGGAATTCTTTCTGCATACGGCATCGCTTTAGCCGATGTAGTGTACGAACTTCAAGAACCGACTTTAAAACTTTACGAACCCGCTAATTTCGATTACTTTGATACAAAACTGAAGGAGCTGGAGAAAAAATGCTTAAAAGCATTAAGATTGCAGGGCTACAACTCTAATCGAATTGTATTCGAACGATATTTGCATATGAGGTACGATGGTACCGATTGCGCTTTGATGTGTTCGCCTCAATCGAGTACTAATAATGCGACTCAGCACGGTGATTTTATGGCCACATTCGTGGAACGCTACCAAACCGAATTCGGTTTTAAAATTGATTGCGATGTTGTGGTAGATGATATCATGGTGAAGGTAATAGGCAAGACTTCCATATGTGAAGAAGTGGAATTACCGGAAAGCGAAAATACACCTCCGGTCCATGAAAAGACTACAAAAGTTTACTTCGAAGGTGGCTACAAGGAAACCAAAGTATTCTTGCTGAGTAAATTGATGCGCAATAATAAAATCGAAGGGCCTGCCATCATCATGGATAACCTTAGTACCATCCTGGTAGAACCTGCTTGCACTGCTACCATAACGAAATATGGCGATATCAAGATCATGATCGGCACTGGGAAGATGAAGGAAATCAGCGAAGAGCTGGATTCTATTCAGCTCAGTATATTTAGCCACAGATTTATGAGTATAGCCGAACAAATGGGACGAATTCTACAGCGGACTGCTAAATCGACCAACATAAAGGAACGCTTGGACTTCTCGTGCGCATTGTTCGGCCCCGACGGTGGCTTGGTTTCGAATGCTCCTCACATACCTGTGCATTTAGGCTCAATGCAGGAGGCAGTCCAGTATCAATTGAAAACCCGCACGGATATAAAGGAGGGTGATGTGATTTTGTCCAATCATCCGGCAGCAGGTGGTTCGCATTTACCAGACTTCACAGTGATAACGCCAGTTTTTCACGAGTAATTCATTCAATTCAATTTATTTTTTCTATATTTTCTGCACAGCAGAGGTGAATTGCATTATGATTGTATTTTCTTTTCTTTTGTGCAGATCGACGAAGAACCCAATTTTCTTTGTTGCGAGCCGTGGCCATCATGCAGATATCGGTGGTATAACGCCAGGTTCGATGCCACCCCATTCAACTAGTTTAGATCAAGAGGGTGCGGCTTTTAAAAGTTTCATCATTGTTAAGAAAGGAACATTCCAAGAAACCGAATTTACCAAAGAAATATTAAAGGCGGGAGGAAGAAATTTGCAAGATAATTTGAGCGATCTACGGGCTCAAGTGGCGGCAAATCAAAAGGGCATTCAATTAGTTAAGGAATTGATCGGCCAGTATGGATTAAAGGTGGTCCAAGCGTACATGAAACATATTCAGAGCAATGCTGAACTGTCCGTCAGGGATATGCTACGAAATGCTGCCAAAGATGCCCGTAGACAATGCCGCGATGTGGAGGCCGAAGAATTTATGGATGATGGAACGATAATCAAGTTGAAAGTGAAATTGGACGGGGAGACCGGTTCAGCAATTTGTGATTTCACGTACGGATTGATGTTTATTTGATGATTATTTTTAGTTTATATTTTTGTAATTTTTGCAGTGGAAGCGGTTTGGAGGTCTGGGGTAACTGCAACGCTCCGAGGGCCATAACATTATCCGCGATTATCTATTGTCTCAGATGCATGATCGGACACGATGTACCTCTCAATCAGGTAACTGAAGAGATTATAATACGATCAAATTAATTATTCATGACGTTGTTTGCAGGGATGCCTGACGCCTGTTGAAATTATTGTGCCGAAAGGATCGATACTGGATCCAAGCGAAGGAGCCGCTGTGGTCGGCGGTAACGTGCTCACATCCCAGCGAATTGTAGATGTCGTGCTGAAAGCTTTTCAGGTGTGCGCCGCCTCGCAAGGGTGCATGAATAACATTACTTTCGGCAATGAAAGGTGGGGTAATTACGAGACCGTCGCCGGAGGGAGCGGAGCCGTAAGCACATGACACCATAACTCGGATCTGATGTTCACGTTTCACTGATTGATAATGTGTCTACTAGGGTCCAAACTGGAACGGCGTTTCCGGTGTTCACACCCACATGACCAACACTAGGATTACGGACATCGAGCTATTGGAGTTGCGCTATCCCATCTACGTGATGAAATTCAAAATACGCGAAGGATCTGGCGGCGCCGGTCGTTACCGTGGAGGAGATGGGGTCGAGAGGGAACTAATGTTCCGCACGCCGGTCACCCTGTCCGTTCTCACCGAACGTCGTGTGCTACAACCGTACGGCCTCAAAGGTAATTAATTGCCATCATCGTCCCTTCAGACCGATGGTAATGGACCTAACCATTTTTTAAGATGTGTATACTCTAATTATGTTTACCCATTTACCCTTTTGACGCAAATCCCATCTTAAACATTTCCATTTTAAGGTATCATATGGGTTTAACAAAAATATTCTAGAAAATTATTAAAAAAAATAACTTAACAAACATTTGTGTCAACCTAAACAGTAAAGATATCAAAATTTTGTAATTGAATTGACGCTAAAATTATGATAGTTTCGGTTTTTCTTTAAAATTTGAATATTTTTGTTTATACAGTGATATAATTGAACGAAATTATGTTTGAATATTACTGTTGAAATAAATTGATTTACCAACTATAATATTTATATTTAGGTGGTCAGCCAGGCGCTAGGGGAGTCAATACGCTGAAGAGGGCTAACGGACGGATGATTAATTTAGGGTCCAAAACCGCGATTAATGTGCAGCCGGGGGTAAGTCAATATCTGTACTTTTGTAAAGTTTAATTGCGACGCGCGATTTGATTAAAGTGTCGGTGTTTCCGCATATTATTGATCATTTTTTAATAACTTTTGCTTTGTCGGATCGTTTTTTTTTTTAGATTGTCAAAAAGTGTTGTTTATATTTGAAGTGTTGCGACAACAAAGTCCTCGACATCGCAATAAAGCGTTTTATTTCGTTACAATGTGGAGAAATGTTGCGTTTTATTGTATTTGTTTTTATATATTGTTGCGTTTTTCTTTTTCATTCTCTTTCCTCGTTTTTCTTCTCGCCTCTGTCTCAGCAAACGGTTGACACAATTGGACGTGCACGTATCAACTTTTGTTATATCATCCGCACGCTGTTATTAAAAATGACCAAACGTTACACTTTTTGAACAATGGACTGTTGACAAATTTCACAATTCAATGTCCAGTAATCTCTCTTCGTTTTAATCAAAATTAAATGAAATTATTTTACATAATTATTAAATAAAATAATCATAAATAAGTTTTTATTGTTTTGATGCTAATTCGCTAATTCAATACCATAAGTAGATATACAAATAGGTTAATAATTTGTTAATACATCTCGTATGTACTTGATATTAGGATAGATGAGTTTGGTAGAATAGTCTGTTTCGTTTTGATCGGTTTTTGAAGTTAAGAAATCTCTTGAGTAGTAATTCGGTTTTCCTTTTGACCATCGTTTCAATGCATTCCACACCCGGTACGTGCAAATAACTTATTCAAAACATCGCCCTTCGGATTTATACGAGCAACCCTACGCAGTCAGCCACGTGCGTATCACATTTATTATGCACGCAGAATACGTTCCATTTTTTTTCCCGTCTTTTGTTACGTCTCTTCCTTTTGAATATTCTCGTATTGGCCTCTCGCAACGAGAATAAAAGGATAATAATTGAAGAGCGGCATTTCTCAAATCGTATCGATCGTCAATTATATCCGGATAACTCGATCGCTCTCAAAGGGATTCCCGCAGGACGACGGATAGGCATCAATTGCCTACACAAAAACTGAAATAATAACATCTTCGGTAATGCTATTAGTTGAAATATTGCGGAGGCGGTACTAGATCCATCATCAGATTTGGTGAAATGGCTTTTTGCCACTGGAAAAGAACGAGCACGCCATTTGATATTCCTGTTGGAGATTTTTTTTTGGGTCACCGGGACTTTCAGCAGGAGAACTAAAAGCTTTCGGTTGGTGAATCTGTTGGAAAACATATTGCATCTAGTCAGGCAAACCTTTTGTTCTGTGCGCGGCTCGCGAAATAATAGATCTTCCATGTAGAGAAGAAGGTTCGGAATATTGAATACGGTTCGGATATTTTAACATGAAAAGCCATCAACGTAAATTAAAATTGATTTCCAATTTATGAAACGTTGTGTATATAATAGAGAGAAAGAGGAACGATCTCTCTGGAGGTGTCGATGCAGCCGACTTAGTGTAATTTTGATTGATGAGCCTTTGTCAGCAAGATGGTGTTGTTTCTCTTCTTATTTTGATCATCCATCTACTGCGACAAGTGTTTTTTTTTGTCTCACCATCAAACTAAGAGATAAACAACTTTTGTTATAGTACAAATATATACCGGTATTATTCAGACATCGATCAATAATTACAATTACATTTTATAACGTAACAATATATATACAAAAAATAAACTTCCAAAAGCATGTTAAAAAACCCGTAACGAAGTTCGAAAGTTTTCTGTTATATTGCGCAGATCCTTTGTTCTTTTGGAATGGATAATTAAGGGTTGCCATGGATTTATTTCCATTATATATATTTTTTTAATGATGTGAAGTAACGAAGTTCAGTTTGTGCCCATTATTTGGAAAATTATTCGAGTGTACTTTCGTGAGGTGAGCGGAATTGTCTTTTGACTTACGCTGCTCCAGAAGTTATACACAGCCGTGATTAATTGCATCCATATATCATCAACTTAATTAACTTCTGAGGCTTGAGTAGTTCTTTCTTTCTCTCTTTCTATATATTTTAGCGCAGACCCTCGTATTTTTTTTCTCCGTATTTCTCAACGTCTATGCTATAATTTCTCCTATAATGGAAGAAGAAAAATCCGCGTAAAGCCGTACATTAGATAAATTGAATTTATCACATACATACTAAAGCTATTGAGCGTCGTCCGTGCTGATTTGAATCTACATTAATAAAAAAATAACTGTTTCAGGATATATTCGAGATACTTACACCAGGCGGAGGAGGATACGGGGTACCAGGATCAAAAACTATTAAAATTGAAGATTTACCCATAACTAAATCGTATGTCGAGAGAGGTAGTCTCTACACATTCAAGCTAAACCAGGAAAGCGTCTAATTTTTCGCTCAAATATTCTTTAATTTGATGCAAATTTATTGTATAATTTGCTATATTCTATTAATGATTACATTGGCAAAAATAAAATTCTTTACTTTTTTTGTTCTTCAATAATATTTGTTTGAATAAATTGTATTCTTGCGCGATAATAATGTTCTTGTATTTTTTTGTTAATTACTTACATTTGCCATGTGAAAAAAGCTATAAATATTTAGATCTCTGGAAATTTAATCAATATTTAAATTTATTAAAATAACTTTACGAATAAAAGAGTTAAGACATTTAAATTTATGTCATTTACGAAAGTTTTCTTTTGTAGCTAAATTAAAGTACTATTTTATAAATTATATAGAAATTGACTAAAATAAAAATGGTCACTGAATATTATATGTTGGTATGCACGAAACAATTTATAATAAAATTATTAAACAAATTTTGTTTTATTTGTAATTATTTATTTAATTCAATATTATTTTTGATTTAAATAAATTAAATCTGTTATATGAATATTTGATTATTCGGTATTATTTATTGGGATTTTTTTGCATTCGCAACAGAATCAATCTGTAAATAAATTAAATAGTTATTATTCACTTCTATAGTTACCTAATTCAGTTCCAGATTGATGCTAGCTAACACATATAAATTTATGTAAAATATATTGAGTAGAAAAATTTCATAATATACTGTTTTTATTTTATACAAGAATTTGTTTACATATTTACAAAGACACCAAATATATGGCGGTTATATAATTTACTAATATTGCGGTTATCGCAACGAGAATCAATATGCATTATTATATTTAATTTAATATGAAGAACCCACATGCATGTCACACACACACTTTTGAAGAGTCAGAGACAGAGAGACAGGTAAATGTTGGCTTTGGGAATTGTTCTATTTCGGCTCTTGTTGAAAAGGAAAAATAGGTGAAATGAAGAGGACATGAGAATGAGACTTATTTAAATATAAAAATATGTATTGTATCGTGAGCAACTTGGAGGAATAAGAAATGTAATGGGTATGTTTACGTTTTGCGCGATTGTCTTTTTGGTTTTATCGGCAGAATTATCACGTGTGAAATTCGCTGTCGCAGGTTTGGGTCGTTTGTTCGATCTCCGTTCTGTCGTCCAACGTTTTCGAGAGAGTTCTCAAGAACTGCCGAGGTTCTCGCCGTTTGTACGGCTCCCACTCGGCCTTCGGTAAATGTCAGTGGGTTACTATGACATCCGGTGCAGACTTTGTGGTTTGCACACTGTACGGACGTCGCATCTCCTCGTCCATCTCGATCTTGGCTTCCGCACGGAACTTGGTCTCCTTCTTGTAGCCGAATGTGCTGAAGGGTGCCGGAGGACTAGGTTTGGAGGTGATGCTGTGACTCGGTGTGCTGTGTTCCGAGTTGTTGGAGAAGAGTGATTCCCGTGTCTGACAAGCGCTGTCGCACATCTCGGGTGTTTGCACCTCCACCTCGAATCCTCTCTGGTTGTAGACATCACCATTGATGGAGTGTTCGTTACGGATGAGGATAGGTAGCAGCTCACCACCCGGCACATAGCACGAGGTATTCGTGAGAGCGTTGGATGTGGCGAAATGGTTAGAATCCGAAGAATGCGTGCTGCTGGATCGGGACCGAATCGATACCTTCGTTTTGTTCTTCTGCTCCATGTGCTCCTGCTGCTTTCCCAGTTGATTCAGTTCCTGCTCGCGGCTCTCCCTAACGTATTCCTTGCAACAAAAGAATCCAATTACTATTTTGATTACATTACATTTCCATACTGATCAAATATCACATTCATATCATACATTAAAATAAACAGTTTCATCTGGTATTACATGTAATTAATTTATGTAACATAAAACATAATTGTAAAATATTTTATTTAGTAACAAAACTTTTAAGTTAAGTATTTTATCAATAAAATAAGATAAAATTTCAGTTTTTTTAATTTGTACGTTAATTACGTAAGGTTTCTTTTTGATTTAATTTTAGAGCTATTTGTCAAAGTATAAATTGACGTTCGCATGTATAACAACTAGAATTGACTATTGCCTCAGATTATTTCATCAATGATACCATTTCACTTGCTATATATATACAATTTCATGCTTGCAGTAGACATCAGTCAACTAATGCCATTGATGAGCAAATTCTATAATATGATTACAAACAGACTATTCGTGCATAATAATGGCTATTAAGAGATGCATGCTTTTCACAAATAATCCGTTATTAACATATTAGTTATATATACTAATTATCTCGCTTTAATATTTAAATGTTATTAAGATTACAATTATGAAAAACTTAGTAGTAGTAAACAAAATTAATGAAAAAAAAAATATTCTGAAAGAACTTATTGATCATACGTATGCTTATAACTGGAATTTAATTAATCCTCGCAGCATGATGATACATAATGTAATTCCAACCGGCAAGTGAATAAAAGAATGGATTTCTAGAACAATTCTCATAGTTTGGTACATTTACCACGCAGCTTCAAACTTAAATAAACATTTTAAAATTGGCTTGTAATTAATAGTCTCTGCACATTTCCCTAAAGGCTTACTATTAATATTGAACCATTAATTGGGTTGAAGTGGTGTGCATATAATGAATGTCACTATTGAGCATGAATGAACTGATTAAAACGCTAGACGCGTGGTGTTAAATTTTGGAATTTTAGGTAAAAAAGTTTAAGTAGTAAAGTAAATAAGTTAAAAGTTATATAGTTGATGTTTTCGTTTAATAATAATGAATATTTAACGCTTGGTGCAATAATGAGGTGAAAGGGAATTTTAATTAACCCCTCAAGTGGTATGCGCTCGACGAAGATCACCTTAATTTATCTTTATATCTTATGAATTCGTCGCTCGCTAGCTAAAATATAGCACCGTCTCTGAGCTGACATCTTAAATCTTTAGTTGGCCAGAGTACACACAAAAAAATAGCAGATGATACTCCTCAGTCGTCAATTAATGTCCTCCCTTCAGAATAAATGATGGGGTTTAGTTTAATAGACGCGTGTTGCAAAGTGGAATAAACAAAAGAACCTAACCAAAATTAATGATCTTACCGTTAATTCGTTATTCTTACCTGTATTGTTCGGTGGTCCCTGACAAGTTTCTTGATACAATTGAAGAGGAACGTACAGCACATGCCGGATAAGATGAGGGAAAATATCACCATGATGATGATGATGTGGTTCTCACTGAGCGGCATCGCTTTGTTGTTCTGAAAATGTATTAGAAGATTAGAGATCGTACGTTTTTTAGTGCGCTCATTAAATACATATTCCATAATGCCAAAGTACGTTTCGCATATGTATACAATGGCATCACACCTGCAGACCGACCTCAAAAGCAATCAAAATATATAATTAAAAGTGACGCGACTGTTTGGATGTTAAACTTGTGCGATACGCAATAGTAATTGCAATTTTATCCGAGAGGGAATTCGGTGTGCTGCTATCAAAAATATGAAAAAAAAACAAAAAGTACAAAAAAAACATCGAGTCGTGTAATAAAATTAGCAATCTCACGAACTGCAAATGGAAATTGCGATTGCGTGAAAACTTAATTAGAGTCAGGGTCTTGTAACGCGACCCCGATTTTAACGTCTTCCCCCTCGATTTCTAATTAAAATCAAATCAACTTCATGTATAGATCGGAACTATAATTAATGTACAATTTCCAATTCATTTATTTATAAAAAAAAAACCGCCACGCTCAACTTGTAACTTAATAAAGAAGATATTTAGATTGGATGTGGTTACTACACTTAAATCTACGTTCTGTTTAAAATTGGGTTACGAAATCGTGTACTCTCTATCTACTATTCTGTTAAAGTTTCTAATTGATACGATCTGCAATTCGATATGTCGTCGTGTGATGGAGCGGTTAGATCAGTCCACTGTTAGCAAATCCAACAAACAAAATGATTCGTTAAACTCGTTTCTACCAAAGTTCAAAATTATCTTTCATATGTGTGTGCGTGTGTTTATTTGTGTCGCTTTTGTGTTGAACAAAAGTGAAAGGGGAAAATACAAAATAGGTAAAGAAAGAAAGAAAACGGGGGAAAAAAATAATCAAACACAGTTCTTTTCAAATAACTCGAAAACTTGATGAAAGCGGACACGATTAAATTGATTAAAGCTCGCTTGTGATTTCATCGGCTTACCATAAGTCCTCCCTATAAGAACAAATAGATATTAAATTGGTAAACAGAAGCCATAGAATTAGTTACTTTTTGAGGATGATTACAAATATAATTTATGATTGAAATAATCCTTTTTACAAAAAAAAATGCACCAATGCTTAAGGGCTTTGCATATTTAGTCATAAAGACTTTGCTGAAATTTTCGGTACTACTATACGTTTTTTATAAATGTAATCACGTTCCTTATATTATCAGAGTTGACAGTTTCGGGTATCATAAGTTATATAATTTGAATATGAAATGATTATAATTGAAAAAAGTACTTGAGATATAAAATGGGTGTACGATAATCTCATTAATTAATTTAATAATTTAATTTATTAATTTAATTTTAATATCAATATATAACAATAATTTAACAATTTTCTAAATCAAATTTTACTATAAAGGGAGTAATTGATTTTTTATACAATAATAAACGTGATATTTGATTTCCAGTCAATTTCAAATGTTACATTCGCATGTAATTGGAGTTTGTGATTTTATAAAATATATTTATTTCTAATTAGTAAAACCCTATTTTTTTTACATTGATTAAAAATAAAGCAAATAATTTTCAATTATTTCCAAATGACGGACGTTTTAATGATTCACATACACTGGAAATTCTTTCTCATGCTTTTCCCATCAATTACGTTTATATTTTGCATCGTATTCTCGCGCAAACTAATAAAATACAACTGACTTGACACTGTTTTCTATAATTGGCAATTTTGATGTTACAAAGCTACATTTGTAAAAACAAGAAGTAATTGCACCATTAGTTCAACGTTTTTGCAATACAAAGGTCGCTCGTCAAAATGCATTCTTTTATTATGATTTTCGTTTAGACGATGCTATTTATTTTTATGAGTTGTCTTCAAATATAAATAGAATGATATTTATCCATTTTATCTTTGGAATATTGAAAACAAATGTATAATAACTATGTACTCATTTAATTAAGAAATTGTCTGAGCGTTAGTATTGAATTATGAAAATTGAGTAACATCAATTTGAGTTTGTGAACCATCAAAACTTCCACGGATATAGTTGGTACAATATTAATTCACTTACATCACAGTCGTCTTCGTCCCATCGGAACCGGCAATTAAAGCGGCCGTTACACTTGAGATCGATGGAAATGCAGGTGGCATCCTCGCAGTTGAACTCATCTGCTGCACATTCGGAATCTGGAAAAGACATGGTAATACTCGTATGTGTGTGTATTCATCCTTATAACGAGATCCTGAGGGAGTGCGTGAGGATGCGGATAATGGGCTGAAAGGCTTCCTTCCACTTCCTATTACGTGAGGTGTGTGCGATTAAGATCTATTTTCGCGTGCAAACACTGCGTGCTGCGAAACTAATTTGCAACTGCCGTAAACTTATCGCAGTCTCGAAAATTTACATTCGCAAGGATTTTCAGGGATTGCGCGAAACGAGCGGATGGAATGGCTTGTTGCAGGTTCTGGAATTTCGGAAGGCTTCAGTCTCGCATTTCAAAGTGTACTCACTGGATTTATCGTTCTCTCGGTATGCCGTGAAAAGGGCCTCGAACGTGGATTTGGCGCTGGCCCTTGGCTCTGCGAAGAACCTAATGAACATTATGTTATTTTTAGAGCTGACTGTGTCCGCGATGGATCCGCAGAAGTTCTTGTCCCTGGATGGTATATCTGTCCTATCCGAGAAGACGTCCACGAAGTTGCTGTCGCAGTCATTAGGTCTTGCCAATGAGAACAACTTGAAGGACAACTGGATCTGAAACAATACAAAAAAAAAACATTTCAAATTGGTTTCTTTTCTATATACAGTGGAACCTCGCTTAACGAGCGACATTTCACATAAAGAGTGACGAAGAGAAGTACCGGATTGCGCTGCATCATTTTTAAAACTTGTGCACACATATTGTGTGCATTTTTGAATATGTTTCACTATACGAGTAAAAATTATTTTGGAACGGATTAAACGAGGTTCCACTGTATTTGATCCTAGACCCGTCAAATACAGTGGAACCTGTATTGAAATTCCGACAATTAAATTCTCGACATATGAAAATCTCAAACATTTTAGCGGATTTTGGCAATCTTTATTCAACTTTTCCATATTTATTTCTATAATTTGATTATATTCTAGAAATAAAAAATCGAACGTAATTGTACGTTGGTATATATCATAAGGTATACAGTTATGAATTGAGAACAATTCCTTCGCCATTAAATATCCACGCGCACAAATTTTAACACTGTCTCTTTGTGACCGAATTGTGTCACAAATATCATCATTTTTACAAATCTTAAATTAACTAAATAGTTTTCATTTAGCATAGGTGTAAAAAACGCTTTCGATAGAACACAGGTTTTACTCTAAACAAAGAATATCGGTGTTCGTTTTTTTATTTCCGTAGAAAATAATAACGGTCATTTTTAAATTCATTTGTTTTGCGTCTATATTATAAAGGGTGTCCCAAAATTAACACAAGATTTGAATTTGCCGTTAGTTAAAATGGGGCGTTACACGATAGAACAAAGTATTTCGAAAATTTCATACAAAATATGGTCGGAATAGTGTTTTAACTTCGTCAAATGTTGAAAAATTCAGAGAGACGTTAAACCATGCATTACAGGAGGAAATTTAACGCTGAATCAATGAAATTTAGCCACATTTATGCAAAATTTTGATAAAAGAGTGCATATGTGTCAGCAAAGCTGTGGAGGCCATTTTCCTGATGTGTTATTCCATAAATAATCCTATCCTATGTATTTTCAATACAAAAATCACAATCTGAAAACTAAAAACTGTGTTTTCTATTTAATTCAAATCTTTCGTTAATTTTGGGACACCCTTTATAATAAAAGATAGTGTCGGGATTTTCAGAGTCGGGATTAAACACTGTCGGGATTATGGTTGTCGTGATTTTGATGTGAACCGATATTTGGCACTGTAAATATCAGCGCATTTAGTCAAATATTGTATACTAAAATGTATATATAATAAACACTTAAAACTTTTCAAGGTTTTTTTTTTAATTTCCATAATACAACACTTGTGACAACTGTGAACTTGTATAATAAAAAAAAATGACTATAGGCCTACTTAATTACTAGTCATATATTAGATGCAAGTCAAGGTAAACTTATTTTATTTAATTTCTGACTGTATAATTAGGATTTGCTTTATTAACATCGAATACTTTGACTAGGCTTATGAAATATGTTGTTAAACTGTAGCCCTTTTCCCGTAGCCAAATTAATTGCCTCCCAAACTTCGTTACATTTGGGTATACATTAATAATACTCGGACAATTTTCCTTTCAAAATAATTGATTGTGTTTTCTTCTCTTATTAAAAACAACACAAAAAAGTGTTTACTGTTCTCGACTCTCTTAATTACATTTCTAATTAATTATATTTTTTAATATTCAGTAAAATTTCCTATTAATAATATTCAAATTAATTGATGTCTTTTTTTGTTATAAGTAGTGCATCTTGGAATATGACGAAATTGAATGTTTATCTATCTGCTCGATCGATACAACATATGTATCGACCTTTTGCACTCCAAATATTTACAGAGGACCGTTTATGAAATCAGCCGAATAGAATAGAAAACAATGGACTTCATTCTGTCCAGGTCAAACTCACAAAATACTAGCCGAGCACGAATGAAAACAAGATAATTAAATTGAGATAGAAAAAACAAGTGTTTTCACGAACCCTGCTGTTTGTCTTACTCTTGAAGAAGTTTCACTTGATAAAACATTAGAGTCCAATTGGAAGTGAACATTTGGAATTTATAAAATTCTAGAATATAAACTAGTTGTTACTCTAACGTTATAGTAATTAATTCAAAATATGTTACTAAATATTTGCTTTTTAATTCATTCAGATTTAGATTTATGTTTTTACTGCAATTTGAGCGGGAAAATACGTTTTAATTCTATAAAACGTTAGAATTAATGCAATGCTTTTTAAACGATTTGCTGTAATTATTTTCAAATCAACTATGGATAAAATTCTTGAAAAATTAATTGTTGTGGTCAACAATTATTATTATAATGGTTGGACACATCCGCGGCGACTCTTGATCGCATTATTATATAAACATATACATCAGCATAAAGGAAAATCTACAGTTCGAGACACTTTAATATAAACAAAGGGGATCAGGCGTAAACATTCCCTTCGATACTCCTATAACTTTACTCCGAATTCAAGTCCTTATTATAAACACATAATGATCGTTACACGTACAATCGTAATCGATCATCTTTTTATATAAACAAATACATTAGATTTTGTTCCGGTCTAATAATAAACAAAACCACCAAGGCCGGATCCCGTGCGAACACTTAATCATCAATATATACAAAGCCCTACTACCAATCACAACTCCCACCCCGTAATAATAAGAATTAACTTTGTAAGTAGAATAAGTATTTAGAAGGAGTCTCAGCATCGAAGTAAGTACATTATCTTGGAAAGGGACCCCAAGAATACAAATTATTATAATAAACTTGTTTTAAACCAATTGAATTATTTAATTCCTACAACTGAGACTCCACAACGACAACACCAGACAATATTCCACTGTGTCCAGAATTCCATCCCTGGGACACGACATAATATTAGTTCATAACATTTATAAGTTATCATATTAAAAACCAATACACTGTCGCGGCCGACCAATTTATAATCATTTATTGTATATTTGTTAGGTCTACTTGTTACAAACGAATACTTGTACGTGATTATTTAGAATAACTTGTGGAATATTCTGAAAGACGGTTACACATTAAATAGTATATTTGCGTCTATTGTATCACCACTTAACCCCTAAATATTTAGGTATTGTCATAAAACTTAGATGAACGATTGTATTTTCAACAAGCTCAAAACTGATTTCCTTAACTTCCACGTAGCCCCTTTTCGAAATGAACACATTTTTTTATTATATAATTTAGTCATAGCTAGAGGGTCCAACGAAGAGATTAGTCTTAGTTGGAGGGCCGAAGGAGGATACTAACTTAAGAGGAGAATGTAACTCTTAGTTAATAATCCCTGAGATCAACTATTGTATAGTTGACTTCTTAATATTATTCGAAATGTATTTGATATAATATTATATATATATAGGAGAATTTTAACTGTACAAAATTTATTTAGAAATACGGATAATGTAAACCATCATAATTTTGTTCAGGAACGTATAATAATAAGTAAATGCGATTTACATTGAATGCAAATTTTTGACGTTATTAAAATAAATCTGTTCAAATTTATTCTTTGTATTTCATTGTATAGAGCTGAATACGAGTCGTAATAGGGAAATGCTTTGAGCAAAAAGTAACCATTAAAAATGTACGTTGATCTGTCGTGACATCTTATAAACAATACGATATTTATATTGTATTTTAAAATTCCCGCAATTATTTTTGTATTTCAAAAGATGATTTTATATAATATTCATTTGAAATTAAATGTGGATGAGCCGGGTTTTCTATTATACTTTCATTTAGTATACTATAAGCGATTTTTGATATTGTTTTTTTTTTATTAGAGATTTAATTCAATATTTTCAAGCAGATTTTGGATAATAGTATTATGTATTTAATATAAACAGGAGAGGGTTTTCAATTAGTAGATTGCTGTATGTTTGGGATTGACCAAGCGAAATGCGTATCCTGTTTGCTCTTTAACGCTTCTAATAATAAGCAGAGATTATGTATGCGGATTATTAACGGTAGCGTAATTTGTTAATTGAAAGGGCGCGCTTTATTTGGATTGGGTTCTGCCATGTGGAATGAATGCCGCCAAACAAGAGTGGATCCGCTTCCGTTGGTCAAACGATTTTTAACTTCTTTACTCTCTTTCTCGACGTTTTAGGTAAACACTCGTATCAAATAGAACTGTAAAACTCACCCTCCATCCTTCCTTGACGGTGATCACCCAAATGCAGTCAATCGGAAGTTTATACCTCTCGTTGAATGCCAATGTCTCGTTGCTTATGTCGGACTTTTTTGGGAATCCTTCGTCTCCACCAACTGGAATGATGCAAGGTCTTACCTCAGGCGGAGTTGATGCTGCAAACACATCATATATTTATATGTTATATATTACGATTAAATCAAACATAAAAATTTAAATTTAGTCTGTAAACACATCTAAAATAATTAATGTCATATTTATATTTAATGCAATTAAATATGGCTTTAATTTAAACCGACAGTAAACATTCGCAGTTTGCAGAATAGAGTTTTATGTCAGGGAGGATAGGAAATGTAAAAATAGTTTATAAAAAAAAGAAGAGGAAAACATAGAACGAACGTTAAACGAAATTTACTTTACAAAGCGACACAGGAGATAAACAACGTGAAAACGGCGTGGAAGCAAATTTATCTGGTCGAGACGTTACAATTTTGTATTTGCCGGACATTCATAAAGTTGGAAACTGTACATGACCAGAAAGTTTTTATTGATACAACGGTTTGAAACAATAACTATTTCAATGTTTACATGCATGCAATGTTTCATTTGTTAGATAAAACGGATCAACAATATTTCAGAACTCACAAAATTGATTTTTTTTATATATAACTAATCAATATATTCTGTTCATGCTTTAATTATATAATATATTATTTTAAATAATAGCGAATGTACGTTTGATTGGACGAGAAAATGTGTTATAGGAAAAATAAATCAAAACATCTTACTCTGACTTAAACACAAGTGAAATACAATATGTATTATCTATGCAATCTCTGACAGAAATTACTGTACATTCGCACGAATATTTGTGTGTTAGTTCGAATAAAGTATTATAAATATTAATATACGCAATATATTCATGATGATTGGACATGAAATAGGAACTAATTCAAAGTTGTTAAATACTTTGAAAATGTGCAAAAAACTTGCTTGTCTCTATAACACGCATGGGTTAAGTTAACTGCGTCTCCCATTGATAATTGGTGTGGCTTTTTAATATATAAAAATATATTAAAGTGGCTTTATAATATATGAAAAACCGGAATGCGGCTCTCATTGACTTCATCTCATGTCTTCGTATTTCTGCTCTAGACAATATATGTTTAATATTTTTATAAAAATAGTAAAAACAATCATATATTACATAATTCGTGACTGACAACAATGTATTATTTATCTATAAAATTATGAAAAGTTGTTGTTACACAACTTGCATATGCAAATAAGTGTATATAAATAAACAAACTTCTAAAATAAAATAACAGGAAAATTTCTTATAATCTAATGCATTTATAATCTATATAATATGTCTAGTAAAATACAAAAATTAGGGCAGAAAGACTTATGGTCAATAGCTCTTTGTATCAGTTGACTTTTTTTTTAATTATATATATTTTTGCTTACATATTTTATTTATATTTCTAAATGAAAATAATAGTCTTGATTTTTGAATTTTTATATGCATTAATAAAACTAACGCCAAGGAATCTAGTGAAGACAGTACATTAAGGAGAAGAGTTATATGAAAAACGTGCAATACCTACAAAATTATCCCGCACGTCCGAAAAATGTAATGTATACACTTGTACCCGTTTTCGTATTCTGCTCTTTTATTAGACTATATCAATCATTTTGGACTTGTTTTTCTGCTGAGACGAAAAAATAATCTTATATATCTTTTCAGAAGTGCAATTAACCTACATCCAAAATTGCCACTGCTTCAGAATATATTTTATTTGTTTCATTGAAAATACATTTTCGACAGATTAATTTTCTTGTAATATTATTTTTTAGCTAATATAGCTGTTTTTTCCTGAATTTTTATTACAATAACATAAAAAGGCGCAGTTATTTTTACAGTGAGAAATATCAATTTTGAACTAACTTATTTTGCAGATTCTAATATTGCTTCGAAGTAGTCTCATGTATTTTATTTAATGGAAAACAGATTGTTTTAGATTGCTACAGTCCTCCGACATGTACTAAAACGGAGGACTGTATAAATATGCAAATAAACACATTCATTTGTGATGTCCACACGTATAAAGCATACGCATATGCTTTGATTTTGGGGGGAAATCCACTAATTGGGACACAAGAGTAGGATAGCAGGAACAGTTTGGAGACTGTGCCTTCTTGTCACTTCTTGACAGCTGCCAATAAAAGAGACTATTTGCTATTAATTATTAATTAACAAAAATATCTTCGAGGGCAAACTTTATTATAACAGAATTAAGCAGTTTTAGTTGCAAAATTTTGTTTATTTTAGTGGTTTTATTCGGGGATTAAACATTAATATGTGCATAATTCTGCATGGATAAGCTTTATACAAAACTTTTAGCGCCGTAAATAACTGAGAGGTTACGATAAAATTATAATTAGGGAGATGAATATGCCAGGAAATATCTTACATTTATGGTTGTGCTGCTGCAGGAGCTCACTTCTAAATCTCTTAAGCTCTTCACTGCAAGCGAGTGCATATGCATATTAGATAAGCATTGGACGTTGAAAAATTTATATTTTCTTCCAGACGAGACATCCAGAATTATTTATTTTACGGATGATTTGATGTTTTAGTATTTATATTTTTGTAATGATTTAGTAAATTAGTAAACAAATTATTTAAATTCTAGCCATGTAATATATTTTAATTATCTTTTGAAACATAAGAATGCAATGAAAATTGCGAGAAAAAAACTATAAAAAGCTGTATGTACTTGAAAAATTCGAGGAATCTTCATTGTTATTATAAGAATTCTAGGCCAAAACGATACATTTTATTATTCCAAAGGAAAATATATAACCTTAATAGCGACATTATAATGTCTCATAATATAACATACAAATATTCACTTAATTAAAAACTCAATATACTACAAATTTATTTTACAATTTCTATGGGATTTTCTTTAGTTTCGACCGTAGTTATTATATTTACTGTAGTTATTCATTTAAAAACGTTAAAATCCGTGTATTTGCTTACAGAAGCGGTAAAATAAGAGGCCATAAAAACAGTTGAATAAATAAATTTGCAAATGTATCTGTTTTATGGGTCTGACATGGCCTATTTTTTCAATTTCCAAACATAATTACTCGTAAATTTTGTATTTCATCCCGACGGATCAATGCGTTGGCACGTCAGATTGCAATCTCTGCGCGACAATAAATTGTAAAATGTGTATCAGCCATCCTCGCCGCAGATAACGATGAAACATTGCAGGGCTTCATAGCAACATCCTTTCACGTATTTTATATGCATCCTATTCAACCAGAGCTATTTTTACCCACCACTGTTTTCACTAAACGAAATGCTTCATTGTATGTAAGATTTCACCATCTGACGGGAAATAAAATTCGTTATCCCCGGCTGCATTTTATGATGGATCGGAGTGTTCCACAGGCGAATGTGGTTCATCTGTTAAATAGCAGAGCATATAGAGCGCAGCGTGTATTGTGATTTCACTCGTTTTAATTCTGAACGGGTCCAACCTACTGCGAAATGTTTGTTTCCCGTGTTTCGCCATCACAATGGGTGGCCTGTTTATTTTTGGGTGGACGCGCCGGGTTCTGGGGCGTCGCGACGCGTCGATGATCCCGTCGGCGTCGGTTTATTATGACGGTTGGAAATGCGCGTTGCGTGTCGCCGAGATTTATCGGTTTGCGACTGGTATTACTCGGATGCCAGCGTACATTAAATATGAATGATATGTGATATCTACATGTGATATACAACTAGTTTGTCCACTTTGTGATATTCGAGCTCAGTCGACAGTTATTCCAAGAAGTTTATTCTGGACATACATTTTATATGATTTACAACGTTTCGTATTCTATATTTTTCAAAGTGAATATTTAAATTAATCATTCAAATAATTGAACAAATTCAAATAGGCAAAATGTAGAAATTGTATAACATTTGCAAGAGAAGTTATTAATATTAATTTTAATACAATAATATTTATTCCAATATAAATAAATATGTTAGGAATTATCAACATTGTGTATAGATTTCGTCTATGGAAATTTATTGATGTATTAAGTTTAAGCAAACTGTTGTACTTGAAATACAAGAAATCAGAGAGTCGAACCGGAACCGAACCGAAAACCGTAAACGAAATTAACAGGATTTTTAATAGAACCGTTAAACCAAAATTGATATTTGACTGTATTCTAAATTTTAACTATAACGAATTTAAATTGCTTTTTTTTTTCGATTTTAATTTCAATCGGAACTGAAGCGGAACCGAAATTTTTAGACGAACCGAAACCGAATCAGGAACGATAAACATTTACTTGGAACGTAACCGTAAACCGGAACGAAATTAATGTCGGTTCCACTCTCTGCAAGAAATATATAATGGATGAAAATATGGATGCGATTTGGTTCAAAAGTAATAATATAAATAGAGAACTACGATTTGTCACTTACATGATGTAGGTCTGGGTACGAATTCGTAGACGGCTTTGAATCCTCTGTACTCGATGTTCTCGTCTGACCGGAAATGAATCCAGAGATGACGGTCTGAGGACGTGAGCATCGGCGGAAAATCGAAACCGCAAAAGGGTTGCATCATCAGATTGTTGTAGCCGTGAGCGCCATCCCGAACCTCCAGGTAATCGTTCCTGCAATCCTGACTGGGCTCCAGTTCGAACCAATCCCGAAAATCCAGTTTTATCAGGTGGCCCTCGGGAGCTGCAACAAGCAAAAAAAAACATTGCATTGATGAAGAGATGTTGGCGAGACGGTGTCTTGGTCAATATTTTTGAAGAGATGGCTCGTCTTGCATGGACTGAAGTTTTCAATAAGAGTATAAATGCAGGGTAGAGCGATGGTAGAGCATATATCATGTTGAGCTCGGTGATGTATCATCGCGCTTTATGCTCGCCAAAAAACTTTCCGCTGAACACGTCTCGTTACGTAGTTATTTGTAAACACGTCCCACATTTTCTTTTCAACTCACATTTTTTTTGGCTCCCTCTATAGTTTGTACTTCACATGATTTACATGGATACTTTCTTATAACTTCTACATATCAATCAAAATGTATCACTCAACTGTAGATTTAAAGAGATTATAATTAAGGAAAATATTTACAATTTTACATAATTATTATAATGCAAATGTAATTAGAGAAAATGATTGTCTAGATTAGGAACCCAAACGTTATTAAAAGTGAACCCTCGAAATTTCAATAGATTTCAAACTCGAACAAAAACTTGAAAAATGAACACAAAATTTAGCTCTGTTTAAATTTAAAAAAAAAAACATGCGGATTTATCTGAGCTAGTGGATTCCAAATAATAATAATAATATTTCTTTATTGGATTGACTATTATCGATTATATTTGTATATGTACTATTATAAATGGAACAATTTAATTGGTATTATAACTAATTACCAATAAGATCTTTTAAAAGACACTTAAAATGTTATATATTGAGATAATTGGGTGCTCGAACATGAAAAAATATAGCAAAGTTAAACAAACGTATTGTATTCGAAGTTTCACTGTAATTGAAAATGTTGTTTACGTTTGAATTAGAATCAATGTTTAAAGCTTTAAAGATAAATAAAATCCCCGACTAATGATCCATACAATCGTTACAAAGTATAAATGGTGCTTTACGTTTCCGTGCTTATAGAATGTGCTATTAGGTACAAATGTTTTGTTTGATTTGTGCCTAGGTTATTGTAAAACGTGGAAATCTGCAGATCGTTAAATGTTAATCTCGAGTGCCAAGTGAGGATCAACGCTATTTGTATAACGCCAGTTTTCACAAAAGCAAAAGGGAAATAATGAAAGTCAAGTATCATAGTAAAAAGAAAATAAGTATAAGTATATGAATAAATTATTTTATTTACATATTTATTTAATGAGAACTGGTTTTAAGTTACCATTACACTGGTTACCTATTAGCTGGTAATTTGTACTTCTTCCTTTGTATATACAAAGAGCTATTCAGATTGTGGAGAAATGGTGGATGCACCAGCTGAGTTTATTTTAAATATAAAAATTGTTGTATTTGTTGCATTTTTATTAAACACCTACGAATTAGTTGCAGTTACAAAGATAAGAAACACCTATGTGAACACCTGTGTATGAACCTGCTTGTAAAGCAGCAGTTAGTCTATTTCATAAACTACATATAAAATCGATTATCGTTTCATTATCTTTGTACAAAGTTGCTGGCAATTTAAAGTCGCTGAGATTATAATAAATGGGAATCTCTTTGCTCCGCTTTACGTGCATTTCTCTCATCACCCCCTAATTAGACTCGATTACTTTATATTGCGCATTAAATAAGATTTATTTCTTCAGACATTGTTCACTTTATAATCTTAATATCTAGATTTTTCCGACTCTCGACAATGTAATTAGTTTTAAAATGTAATCTATTCTTTCAAAATTTGGGAAACCAAAATTGAAATATTGATGATATTTTATGAACGTATTTGCTATAGACGGATTATTTTGACCAAAAATACACTTTACAATAAAATAAGTACCTTTTGCCGCGACTGCTTTCCTCTTATTGAAAAGTGCACTTGAAAATACTGCAATAGGTAGAATGCCAATGAAAATTTATTATGTCCTTATAAATTGTAACAAAATACGTAATACTATTATTATAAATTCACGTTAATTTATAAAGTTGAGGACTACATTTATTACATGAATACTATGAATATTCTGTCATTGCTAATTACTATCATTTATTAATATAATATCTCTTTACATTTGTGTAAAAGAAGTCTACAAGTTTTATTATTCACGATTAGTATTAAATATTTACGGTTTACATACATTTTACATTGACCTTGAGCATTGTACCGAAACTAGAGCTTGCACAAGCGAAATTTATGGCGCTACCCTCTTTCCATTTACCAAATTACTGAGCTCCCCCTCTTTGCATCAAGAAAATTGCTTTTAATAACTTATAATTAGGTAGTCTGTATGTAAATTTTTAAAATAAAAACTTGAGCAATTCAAAACGTTTTGTTTAAGTATACAAGAAAATAATATGAAAATGCAAACTAATGAATATTAATATTAAATCTAAATTTTGAAATTTACCGTAAATAAATTTGAGAAACTGAAATACCGAATAATCGAAGATGAAATAAATTATAATCAAATAAGATTTAAGCTGCATTAGGACTTAATTAACTTAATCAATTGTTTCATGTTTTAAGTGTATTCAAGTTCAAAGTTCATTTAAAATGAATGGAGACTGGTGTAACTAAATTAAGTTGTCACTTGGAATGACATGGGTCGACAGCAAAAATGGGTGTTGATTAGAATAAGTTAAGGAATGGACACGTCCCAGTATTAAACAAATGGCCTTCAAGTTAGTCTGCACGACAAAAAAAAATCAATTATTCTATTTCTTTTGTGGTTCAAAAGACCGTGGGTATGAAGGTATGCGAATGTATGCAAGCAAAAAAAAAGGGTGAGTTAAGATGAAGATCGAGGTCTGGTAAGTGGAATGAGAGCAACCCGTCAACTGGTTTCCATTCAAATTGAAAGCTTTCTTTAGTTTCATAGAAGATTTATGAACGTCGCTTCTTGGATGTAGCAATTTACCGCAAAATGATAAATCGCTTGTCAAACAAATGTTTTCTCATTGTACCTTTTATCCCATTTATACCGAAAGTATACACGGACAATTAAATTGATTACTTCTCAGTCGGCCTTTATGTATACGCAAACATATCAGATTAATTAATTCCATGGTAATTATAAACACATTTTAATTGCGAAGTCAGCGACTCGCAAAAAGGTTTTCTTTCAACAAGAAACCATTAAATAATTCTGTATAATATTACAAGATATTAACCTTCATTAACGTCATATTTCTAACTATAATTAAATTTATAATTAAAAATAATAATTTATGATTTCTGTATATTAATGAAATTTATTTTTTTTTAATTTTAATTTCTTAATATAAGAAATACATAAATACTTTACAGAAGTAAATAACTTTAACAAACAATTATATTTAAAATAAATGCGTAGATAAGAACCAACTACGTTAACACCTGTGATTTTTTATTGAACACATGCATGAACACCTGCAAGTACAGTGAAACCTCGCTTAACGAGTTTAATCCATTCCAAAATTTCCGGATTTTTTACTCGTATAGTGAAACATATTCAAAAATACACATAATACACAAGTTCTAAAAATGATGTAACAGGCGAGCAATCCTGTATTTCTCTTCTCACTCGTTATGCGAAACGTTATTCGTTAAGCGAAATTCTCGTTATTCGAGGTGCTCGTTAAGCGAGGTTTTACTGTATCTCATAAAATATTAACTTCAATAATAAAAATGTCTGTATATTAATAAAATTTATATTTATATTCGACAAAAGTCGAAAAAATGTAAAAAGATGTTTTAATGTAATTAAAAAATGTCCAATGTTTACAAATAAAAAAATAAACTTGCGCACGTAATATACATCATGTTTTCAGCAATGCTTCATAAAGCAAAATAAAAGATTAATCTATCTGCGCTTCTGAAAATATTTACCAAAAATGAAATAAAAACAAATAACGATATATCGTTGAAATACCGACGAAAAAAAATCCTCTTTCACGGAAGAGGAATGAAAAAGAAAAATAAATATAAATAGGTCATATACGTGTGTATCTCAAAATAATAAATTTTCACCCTAATGCTTTCGCCCCACCGGTTTTCGCCGTCATTTTGGACAGGCGTTTATATATATACTTTTTTCCACCCTCGTCCGCTATCAGTCCCTACAATTAAAGGGCGTTAATGAAGCCTCGAAACAAAAATAACAACGGATTCTGTACCATTTTTTTTCTGCGTTTCGTTATTGCTTACGCACCATTAGGACCAGTTGAGACATTTTGCATAAACGGCAAAATGGGATGATGTAAAAAGTGAGAATAAAAAGGAGAAATGAATTACTGAAAAATGAACAGGAAGGCCGCGCCTCCATAAGCAAAACCGTCGAGCAAATGTTGCATTAACGACTGGAAATGACTGCTAAATCATGGGGTCCGACCCAATGGAATTATATTAAAATAACGTGGAAATCGTATTTCACAAGATCTGCAGTCCGCATCTTTCTAACATTTCATTATATAAAGTTACTTTAATTAATATCATTCCATTTGATTAAAGTCTACATTTTTAAAGTGGAAAATTATAGAAATCATATATTAGTGATTTTTTCAGAAATTATAGCAGATTGAATATAACCAAATGATACATATTAAAGTTGGATGAATAGGAAATTTGGCTGCAATACGTGTTCAAAGATGAAATAATTATAAATTAACGATCGAAAAAATAGTGTTTTCACATTTCAGTGATTTTATTAGAAACTATAGTAGATATATTGTGGTATTGTCTACAAAAGATGCATATTAAAGTTGGATGTATGGGAAATGTTAGAAGTACTGAAAAATTGCTGTGATTGTATCCGTTTGGCTGTATTTTAACTGTATATTAACAATAGAGGTTACTTTACTATTATTATAATTATTAATTACCTAAACCTAAATTAAATTACAATAACTGTCAAATATTTTGTTTGATTAGTGAATTTAATTAAAGGTAAACATAATTAATAAATTTAATCGAATCTATATCTCAACGTATAAAAATATTCAATATTCATCATTAGCATTTGAATGATAATTAATTTGTTGCATTA